GGACGCCCAGCAAATCATGTCTCGGGAATGGCTTCAACCGATGCTGCCTTGTAATCCTGCTCTCGGCCCAATACGACTGCCTAGTCCAGGGGTAGCTGTATAGCCCCGCTACCAAGTCCGGACGCTCGTACTCCTCCCGGTTGTGGTTGATGTTGAACCAGTTTAGCCCCTGAAAGCCCCGGGTGAAAAGAGCACCGGTCGCTTCGAGGGCGGATTGCGCGGCGGACTTGGCGCGGTCGAGAACAGAGAGGTAGGTGAGCTTGGTGGCCACTGCAGCGATGTTGCCGACGCCAGGGGGGAAAGTCCCTGTGGACGGCGTGGAGGTAGAAGGGGAAGTGCCGAGTGAAGGAGAAGAGAGGGACTTGATGGTTTGCATTATCGGACCTTTCAACGCCGCATGGGGCCCAACTTCAAGCAGGATATCCGGCCGGAAGCCGGAGATGAGGTGTTGCAACGCCGTGGAAAAGCGGACGGGCTGCGTAAGGTTGTTGACCCAGTAAGACGGCCCAAGCTCCGATAGAGAGGACAGGCGGCGGGCGTGCAGGGACGAGTAGAACTCGACGGTTGAAGAGGAGCGCGATTCAGGTGGCTGAATGTGTGAGACGGCTTGGAGGTATTTGTCGGCAATCAAGGCCATGTGCGGGGAGTGGTAGGCGACGTCGACGAACAGCTTACGGTTGAAGGTGCCCTTCTTCTGGAACAGCTCGGCGACCCGGTCGATAGCGGATTCGTCGCCCGATATGGTGGTGGAAGAGGGTGAGTTTTCGCAGGCCACTACCGCTTCGGATGCCGAGGTGTTGATTTGCTGGAGAAGAGGTGCGCATTCTTCGGCTCCGGAGCCCACGGCTAGCATGGAGCCTCTGAGTTCAGGGTACGCTTTCTTCAGCTCGACGATCATCTGGCCGCGGTAGTAAGCGGCTTCCATCGCCCCTTCAAAGGTCAGCGCGCCAGCTGCGTACGCAGCACCAATCTCGCCGGAGGAGTGGCCCGTGACAGCACCGGGCTTGATGCCGAATGAGTCCAGCAGGTCTACCAAGGCCAACTGCACAGCGGAACAGATGGGCTGAGAAATGTGCGCCTGCCCTACTTTGGTTGTCTCCTTGTCGCGCGTGAGTTCTTCGTAAATGGAGAAATCAGCGCCCACCTTCCGCAAAGCTTCATCGGCTCGCTTGATGGCCTTAAGGTAAAGGGGATGGGTCTGCAAGAGCTCGCGGCCCATGGCATACCATTGCGCTCCCTGGCCGGTGAAGATGAATGCCAGACGTGGTTGTTCTGACGAAGCGCGCATGGGAGTGAGGTCGTGTCCGTTCAGCGATCCCGCAAGACCAGAACAAATCGACTCAACGATGGCCACCCTCCACGGGAAATGCGACCTTCGCTGGCAGAGCGTATACGCCAAATTCCGCGGCATGGTAGTCTGATACAGCTCGGCATGCTGCTCCAACCAGATACCCAGTTCCTTGATACTCGTCCTTAGCGCCTGCTCATCGTTGGCGGACAGCACAAAGAGCCTCGGAGTGGTGTACGCGCCGTGTTCGCCCAGCTCGATCCTGCGATGGATTGGTGGCCCAGCCAAGATACACGTCGAATTGCTCCCGGAAAACCCAAAGTTGTTGACGCATGCATACTTCTTGTGTGCCGGCCATGGCTTCTGCTGTTTGGCGACCGTCATGTTCCATTCCTTGAATGGAATCTCCGGGTTTTCCTTGTCAAAATCTGCATTGGGGAGGATGAACCCGTAGTAAAGCGAGAGCACCCCTTTGATCACCGACACCAGACCGCTCGCGCATTCAAGATGTCCCACATTTGGTTTGCTGCTGCCGATATACAGTGGGTCGTCTGCGGACAAATACCGGCCCACGGCCTTGTATATGGCTGTGGCCTCGATCGGATCGCCCTTCTTCGTGCCGGTACCGTGGGCTTCGAAAAAGCCAACCTCGCGCGGGTCGATCTTGGCGGCAGTGAAGACGTCTCGCAAAAGCTGTTCTTGCTCGTCCGGGGAGGGGGCGACGATACCGACGGTGCGACCATTGTGGGAGACCCCGCTGTGGCTGATGACGGAGAAAATGTGGTCGTTGTCTTTAAATGCTTTTTCGACGGGTTTCAGAACTATTACTGCACAGCCCTCGCCGCGGGCGTAGCCGGACCTGGCCCTATGATCGAAGGCGTACGTCCGTCCTTCGTCAGAAAAGAGACGAAGCATGGACATGGACACCCATACATCCGGTTGAGTTATAAGATGGCTCGCTCCCACCACTGCCGCGTCGCACTCGCCGTTTCTGATGGACTGGACGGCAAGATGCAGAGCGTGCAAAGATGAAGAGCACGCCGTGTCAACGGTGAAGGTCGGGCCGTGCAAGTTAAAGTAGTACGCTAATCGGCCGGACAAGAAGGCTGGTTGGTTGCCGGTTGCATCGAACGAGGGGATCGTGTCGAGATCCCGCATATGCGAAATTCGGTGCTCGCCATAGTTCCCACCAATGAAGACGCCGGTGCGGGTGCCTGTAATGTGCTCGCGCGGTATGCCGCCGCTCTCCAAGGCTTCATAGGTGCATTCCATTAGGAGGCGCTGGGCTGGGTCTGTGTTCAGGTTCTGTTAGCCATTGTCTCCTTTTATATGCCCTATCAACCCCCGTGAACTCTTTTCTCCTCCTTTTCTCTTCACTCCTTTCCCACTGTTCGCTTCTGTCTTCCTGTTTTCGGAGATCAACAAACGCAAAACAGAAAAGGTACTAACCCATGGCCTCCGCCTCCCGTCTTGTGACATCAAAGAACGCCGCGTCGAACCCGCTCAGATCCTGCTTGATGAAGTATCCGCCCTGCGAGTTGAACGTCCCTTTGTGGTCCGGATCCGGGTGGTTGTAGGCTTCCTGGTTGAATCGGTCTTTGGGAACTTTGGACCAACCTGACCGCCCGCGGCACATCATGCGGTAGAAATCCCCTGGTGTCTCGACACCCCCAGGAAGGCGGCAGGACATGCCTACAATTGCTACTGGGTCCGGGGTGCCGGAGGGTTGCTGTGTGGGCGAGGGAGCCGGGCCGGCGGTGGCCCCCCTGGCCCCAGGGTCGCGGGATGCCATTTTGATCGGTTCTCTGGTGTGTTATAATAAGTCGCTCGGAATGAGTCAAAGAAGGCTTCGTGGGCAAAAGACCAAGGTAATTGGCGAGAGAGAAGTTGTCTTAATATAGTCGTCAAGCCGGTATTGCTGGTAGAAGGTTGATGTTTTGGATAGCCCGTGTGGAAGTAGGATGGTGACGGACGGGGGGAGATGGATGATGGCACGAGTGAGAGCGAGAAGGAGGGGGGAAGGTGGAAGGGTTGGTCCAAGAATCGGAAGTGAAAGTGAATGTGGAAGGTACCGCGTCTCCCGGTGCCAGCTTGGTGTCTTCCTGCCGGTTTGTAGACCATGCACCAGCAGGCGCTCTTCCACTTGAAAGGTTGTCAGTCACCCCGAGTTCAGATGGAAGTCACTATCGTTGCTGGGTAACGGGTAGTGAGCAGTCCATTTGACGCTTCTTGGTCAGTCCACGTCACAGCTGCCAGATGTCGGAAAGAGTGAAATTAAGAGAGAAAGTGAGAGTGAAGAATCAGAGGGACTGAAAAGAGGTGATGAGAGACGAGGTGAGGTGGAGTGAGAGGAAAGCCTTTAACGAGGACCAAAGAGAGCGACAACCATCAACGACGAAGATTGACTGCTGGAAATGTGATGGCGGCTTGGGCGAGATGTCGGTTAATTTGGTGGTCTCCTCGTCAATGAGGCATGGGCTAGCTTACGAGAAGAATTGAGGTGAGTATTTAGTCTTATGAGGGTCTGTTCTTACAGCTGACAGTCACGGACACAGCCTCAGCGAGGTTAGAGGACAACATGTGAGAGAGTGACAGGGCATCACGCTTTCGCCCGGTATCACTCCATAGCCGCTTGCAGATATCTGGAGATAACTACGTCGCTGTAGTGAAGAAACCTCTCTGTGGCTGGACACAAACAACCTTACTATGCAGAGGTAGGTATGGCTGGATGGCTATGTCGCCTTCTTATGCAAAATGCAGTCTCTCCAGCCGACAACCCAACCTGACGCGATCGTCCGTGCCCCAGACTCCGGGACCAATCGATCCTACAATCGACCTACCGCCCGTAACCCTTACAGGCGCTCGAAGAAAAGCTTCGCGTGATTCGAAGGAAGTCAGCATGATCTCTTCCCAGCACAAAGAGGCTTCCGAAACCTTTCGGTTTCTGCTTCGACGACTGCGTCTAACTCCATACATAACCCCGTGGCCCTGACCAGCTCACTCTCCCCACCAACGACTGATTCAACATGAAGACGACGACCTCGAACCATCTCTCTTGCATTCACCGCCCAGCTTTCGAGCATTTGCGCATGGGTGTGCCAAGCTCGACTCATGGGAGCTTATTTTAGTATGATCAAGCAAGCCTTATTGCTCAGCTCGTGCCGGGCTGCACGTCCAGACCCATAACTTCGAGCAATTTGAGTTGGGGATGGTGCCTAAAACAGGCTTCAGTCTAACAATTTCTTAGCAGCCGTCAATGACTGGCGGTGTGGTTGTTGGACAAGCACTTTAACGCTGCTTGCCGGCCTGACAAATATGGACCCCAACCACAAGAGGCTATAGAGGTATCGACATGTGAACACGCTTGCTCTCTAACTCCTCCTCAACCACAACCGAGGCTGGAGAAGCCCGCACGGACTACAGCCCATCTAACTCCGTTGGGCTGTTTTTCTATCTTCTATGCTTGTGTGGCCTGTTCTCTGCTTTCCCGGACGTCCCGCACGAAGCAATGCTCCTGAGGCATCATCGTGCCGACCGGTGCATACTCGCAAACAGGAATAGGAACACACACCCCACGACGCGTACACTACACGCGTAAAACGATTTCGGAAAGGAGAACCCGAACCCGAGGCCCGAATCCGACGAAAGTCCAGCTCTACCTCTTGGGTGTTGTTTCCCATGAACAGAGAACCACACAGGCTCAGCCAACGAGAGTGGCTCGATGCTAGTAGCGAGAGGAGGGAAGGAGGAGGGCACTGAGGGCACCCCCAAGCCCATCAAATGTGTGATAGAAAGCTTTAGCAGTCACACTGTCTCGTGCGGCACCGACAGCGATCCAGTCGCAAACCGTAACTCGTCCAACGTATTCCGACAACCACATCATATCCATTTCGTACAGTATCCAACACCGAAAGGCTGGTGTGCCAGCCACATGGTCTCGGTTCACACAGCCATCACCTCCAGCCTCTTCCTCCTCAACGCCGACAAATAGAAAAAGAAACCATTCTCGGCGTAACACTCGTACACCATCTCGAAGTACAACGAACATTCGACGCCTCAACCCAATAACAAAGCTCCAGCCCTGCCTCTCAGGTGTTTCACAACAGGGCACACATGGACTCAGCCAAAGAGAGTATGGAGGGGAGAGAGAGGACACTGAGGGGAAGGAAAAGGGGAGAAGTTTAAGCCGAATATCTCCAATTTACCTACTGTAGCGCAATGTTCGCCACCTAGGGTAGCCATGCGCTTCTCAAGAAGAGGAGAACAAGAAAAAAAGAAAAGAAAAAAAAAAAAAAAACTCGAAAAAAGAGGTTTTGACAAGCACCCTACATCTTCCCGCCAGCAAGTATGCTGTCGACAAAAAACATCCATATTTTCCCAACTTATGACGCGAATCAAGGAGGCTACCTCTGAGTCAAAAGCAATGGCCAGACTAGAAATCTATGTCGAGGTACTGATGAGAAGGGTGGTAGACGCATGGCGCTAATGGAACTCACCTGAATGGCAGGCATGCTGCGGTGCGTCAACACCATCCACTGCTCCTGACACGCCAGGCATGCTCAACCCCCTCATTTTTTATCACTGATGGCATGAACCCCGCAGTTCCTAGTCCCAACTTCTCAAGACTAAGGTAAGATATATCTGGGGGATGGGCCTTCGTCGTGGCCCAGTATGGGCTGAAAATCGCAGTAGCGTCTCAGCAAACGTCCATAATCTCATCTAAGAAAGAGCTAACGCCCAAAGTACAGAATGGTCACGCGGAACCCACAATTGAGAGATCCTCGTCGCGTGATAGTCGCCCAAGTCCCCGTACCTTACCAACGAAGGAAGTCGCCACCACGCCTGGAACATCGCCAGGAAGGGAAGGGCATAATAACGGCACGGTCGACCGCGACAGTGGATGGGAAATGGTGTTAAGTCGATTCCATCCATCCTCTCAAAAACTTCACTTCACTTTGTTCTTGTGCCGACGAGTTTGAACGACATTGGGTCTCGAAAGACGAGAGGGAAAAAGACTTTTACGATACAAGCAAGTCAAGATGAAGTTTCTTTGCCTCCCTGGTGCCTACGGCAGTGCACAGGTTTGTAAACCCCCTGATCTCCTGTTTTTCTTTCTTTTGTTTTTCTCCCCTTTCTTCAAATCTTGCAGTAAAGTTCACTGGAACTGTATAATCCCTTGTTTGACATATACAACAAGAGATGTTGTCCAACTGCACCCCCCCCTCCCCCCCCAGCGTAGTCAAACTGTACTTGCATCCAAGACATCAATGACTGACAGCTCTGACCCGCTTTACAGAACTTCGAAGTCCAATTCGGTCCTCTCGCGAAAGAATTCAAACGCCGTGGTCTCGGCTCGTTCGCCTACTCGCAAGGCACGCACGAAGTCGCCGCGCCCCCCGGTTGGGAAGACTACTTTGGCAAACCCCCTCTCTACCGGTTTCTCGACGTCTCCCAAGGCGATGCCTTTGAGACTCTGCGCCGGCTGCGCCACGTACCGCGCGGCCTGAACCCCGAAGACACCATGCGCCAGCTGCAGGGCGCGACGGTCGAGGAGGACTGGCACCAAGAGGCCTGGCGCCACGCTCTGAATGGCGTGTTCAAGACCATCGATGAAGACCCGGAGATCGATGCCATCCTTGGCTACAGCGAGGGCGCGATGGTGGCGGCGAGCACGATTGTGGAGGAGGTGGAGCGGTGCGCGCGAGAGAAGGGGAGGGAGCGAAGAATCAAGGTTCGTGATTCGCATACCTTCCCTCGTTTAAATGGAGCTTATCTCCTATAGTACCGAGACGCTGACTTGGGACACTGGGATGTACAACAACTATAGTTCGCCATCTTCATCGCAGGCGCACCGCCCCTCAAGTTCGAAGGGGACAAGCGCATCACGGCGCAACTATACGACGAAGTCGGCACGTGCATCGACATCCCGACCCTTCACATCTTTGGCTGCGACGACGCCTTCCTGACCTCGGCAGTCGCCTTGTTCAACGTCTGCGAGCCAAGCAGCGCAGTCATGTACGATCACGGACTCGGCCACATTGTGCCTCGTGACGCTGAGAACGTGGCCCGCCTCGGAACCGTCCTCAGCAATCTCATCCCGAAAGTCGAAGACCAAATCAAAAGAGCGGCACACTTCAGCAGGAAGGAAAAGAAGAGGGAGGAAAAGGAGGCGAAGAAGAACAAGCGGAGGGTGGCTGCTGCGGCCGAGGGCGGTCAGGGAGTGGGAGTAGTGCGACCGGAAATGCACCAGCGCGGATACTCGCACCTTTCTACTACGTCGACGCAGGGACGCAGCAGTTCGGGCCCGACAACGAGCGGAAGCATCACGCCGGCGGAAGTGGACTTTACGGCTGGTAAGTTTGTTTTTCTCGGTGTCTTGTGTCACGTGGGAGGCTACTAACTTGCAGAAGCTATGCTGAAGGGGGCGGACGTCTAGGGCCGAGCGGCCCAGATCACCTATATGTACTCAAGGTCCGGGCTCCGCGCGCATTGAATTTCGGATGAGGTGAAATGAGGGACCGGGTGAGGACCGTGGATTACGGCGCTGAGATTGCATGGAAACGGTCTGGGAACCGCATGGGGAACGGACAAGACTGCAGTAGAAGGGGGGGTAGGGAGTTGGAGTTGGGACGTGAAAAGGAAACGAGCAACGGCAAATGTTTGATACCAGCGACGGCAACAACAGTACACCTCGCCGACATTCAATATAATCAAAGCGCTTATGTTACTTCGGATTGATTTTCGGATTTCTCGACCTTTGAAGTGATCGGGCATGGGATAGATGCATTGTCCCTCAGCATGGAAGCTGCAAAACATACCTCTGATACACAGGCGGGCGGAACTCACTTGAGGTACTTGCAGGATCGAGGTAGGTACCTAGGTATGCAACAAGATGACGGGAGAACGGAGAACTGCAGGAGCGAAAAGGAGATATGAATTATGACACCGAGTGCTATTCGTCGAACAACAACAACAACTCGAACACCAACACCAAGACCACCGGAATCGCAGCCGAACGTCCCGTCATCATCACTTCCCTCGCCCGCAGGCTGACCATGTGGACTTCAACGCGGATGGAGTCAAAGAAATCATCTGGAAGGTCACGTAGGGAAACGACAAGAGTTTGGTGCAGGACCCATCCTTGAAGTTTTCTGTCCGAACGACTTCGGTCGTCGATGGATGTTGATCCTGGGTGTTTTGCCATCGGTCAAGTCCGCAGGTCCTAGTGCCATTTGGCACGTGTGGATGATGGCTAGGTGTAACAAGGGATACGCTTGTTGGTAATACTCTTGGCCTTTGAAGAAGAAACGAAAACTGATGAAGGGTCACCGAACTCGCCGAGTGTTTTCGGTGCGGTGTGCCTTGACTTGAGTTGCTGGGCACAAAGGTGATATGCAGTTGGATGTTAAGGAATCTCTAAGGTAAGGAGTTAATGTAGGTACGTACAGCAAGAGGTATCCATCTCAGCTGTGCAGGTGTGATGGGCGGTACGGTGAATCCCCCTGAAACTGCATATCCCATTCTCGCAACTACACCTGGCACCAAAAGGTGCCCTCTAACCGCATTCCCAGATGCAGTCTCAGATTCTCCCGTCTGCCGCCAAAAGCCAGATTCCCATCCTTCATATGTATGTGCCACTTATTGCATAGAGGTACTGAGATTTGGCAGTCCCCTCAAGTGTCCAGGTCATAGGTATGCAGCAAGACGGGAAAGGACTTAGAGGCACTTTGCCAATGTGCATGCTGCTCAGTCGTGCAACGTTGGCATTGCACGTTGCTTGTGCAGTCATCCCCCAAAGGAGTATTTGTGGCTTTCAGGTGCGAGCAGATATCGGATATTTATTCTCAGATTTCAGATTCCGGACTGCGAGATGCAAGGGATTGTTGCATCCAGACCCCCGTCGCTGCTGAAAAGAAAAAGAAGAGAAAAAAAAAAAGACCAAAAAAATGACCGGTCCTCTCTTCCCCTCATGTCTATCTCCCGTCTTCGAGTCCTTGGTTCCTTTCTTCCATTTGCCACTTCCGTGATGCTGATAAAAACTCACCAGGACCCCTCTCGCTCGCCTCTCCGCACGCCTCGTTTTTCACGAGATCCTCAAGATACATGAACAAAAGCACTGGACACCTCCACTCTCATATTCGGTGCACAACCCTTTAGTGTACCAAGATACCCCAAAACAAGGTTCAGACCCATGACTACCGAATCGCCGATCACCAACTGAATGTCATGCAGGTGTCTCAGGCGAGATGCAGGGCCCATTGCTTTTCCCTTGGGACAATGCGCCATGTCTGGTCTAGGCCTCCCATTGTACTACACTAGCTCCATCTATGTCCCAGCTAACGCGCTTCCCCAGCGCCTTCCCAGCGCCCTATACTATCCTTCCTGATGATGGACCTGGATGGCTTTTTGGATGAGAAGGAAGCCATGCCGGTTCAAGGACCTCGCGACCGAAGCATTCAAGTACATATTTCTCTTGGGGATGATTGCACTGGAAGATCATTCTGGAGTCGAGTCTGGGGTTCGTCATCGTTTCAGACATTTGATTTCGATCGACACTCGTCCAAGATCTGGGATGTAACTAAGAAAGACCCTAAAAGTCTTGGTAGGTGCCGCAGAGGATCCGAAAAGGTTCCACACAGCCTTCGATGGTCGGTTTTTCTGCCGAAGCCGAGATCAGATTGGATGGATCAACAGATTTTCCTGGGGGCTTGGAGGAACTTCGGTTCCTTTGGCAAAGTCAAAGCGCCGCCGAGCTGGTCGCTGCCCCCCAGAAAAGGTAAAAATCACTCACCATTCGCCGAGCCTTCGCCATGCCGGCGCCGGGGTTCCGATTCGGATGGAGCACGCCCAGAACAATCGGACCCAGTCGTGGCCAATGCTCTGCAATCGGTTGTTTGAAGACGATCCACTGGCGCTAGAATCGATAGAATCGATGAAAAAGTCAACCCCTTATCCAAGCTTGCATCAAATATCCCAGCGGACACCGCAGCCGAGGGGAATATCGTGGAGAAGACCGGAGACGACGACTACGGTGAGAGGGCCGAACGAATAGAATTACAAGCCCTCTTTCAGAGCAAATGAGGATCCGAAAACGAGACCAAGTCGCCAAGAGAATGGTGTCTTAGTGTGTGGTGTACACACACACACTGTTCCCCAGAAACATACCCTGTCCCGGTCATTCAGCTGCCAAGATGCCAAAAGCAGGCGGAGTCCTGGACAACCTTGGGATCAAGGCTTCAGACATTTGGCGGATTGATGGTCTCAGCTCGAACCCTCGAGTTCCAATTAACAGCAAGGAGGACGGGCTATAACCCAAAGAACACGGATTGTACCGATACGCGAGCCGAAAGAGCCGATCGTGGCCGATTGGACAAGATGAATGGCTAACGAATCACACACTAAAAACGACAGCACTGGTTCCATGCCTTGGGGGAGTAAACAAATCAGAGAAACAGGTCCAAGAACCTAGGTAGGTAAATTGAGGAACAAAGGGGTGTCCGTGCATACAATCACATTGGGAAAGTTCTCACGAGCTTTTTTCTGTCTCCAAGTGAAACACGGGCTTGGTTAGCGGCCACCTACTCCTCGATATGGCTTCCATGTTTTCGACTAATCACGCCTCCTTGGCTTTGAATCCTCGAGAGAGCCGCATTCAGCCGCACTAGTGAAAGCCTCTGGTGTGAATCTGTCAGATAATTTGGTCTTTTCACATCTCGTAGCCATGGCCAAAAGTTCCCAGACGGCCGAGGCACACTTCTCGCAAGACTATCCCCCTAAGGAAAAAGAAAAACAAACCCCTTTCCCACTAGGTTGGCCACACGCGAATCGAAAGACCCCTGTGCCCTACACACATACAAGGTTGGGTCGTTGTCAACTTTACACTAGTGCAGTGATGAAAACTGGGATGGGCCCGGCTTTGGGTACTTCTAGGCCAACTGGCTTGACGCTATCTATTTCATGCAAGGGGAGACTTTGACAGAAATGATATATCGAACACGCTGGCCTGCTTTTTTGTTTCGTTTCCGAACGGTCTAGTTTGTTGCTTGCTGTTTATCGTAAAAAGTTTCCTTGCGGTTGTTTCTAGACATCTATCTCTGCGACTGAACGAACTGATCGACACTCATTCCTTTCACTGACGTCGACCATACACTACCGCATACCCGAACAATACCCCACAGGCAATCTGGTACTCACCATACACCACTCGTTGCTTTTCTTCCATCTTGCTGTCTCACATCTACGGGACCACTCCAACCAATGACGGCGTAAACGCCCCTTGATAATTGCCTTTGGGCATGTTGGATCCACGACGACAACAACACCTACGACTTCGACTTTACCACCACAAGCAAGCCAATACTACCTACCTCCAAACTTCATTAGTGGTAGTAACAAATTTACTACCGTACCATACCACGCTACCACGCGATATAGACGCGGATCTCTTTGTCAACAATAAGGTATCTACATGTAATGGTCCATCGTTCATTATTTTCATCATCAACCACCTTTACAATCCTTGTACATCGAGGTACTCAAGGCACTGCAACATAGGTGTTGATCAAAACGAAACACGCATATAAGGAACGAACGCAACTTGAAACACAACAAACATGAACGAGACACATTATGGGGAAGATCCGTCGGAACTGGCCAAGTCGTACCTAGGCCAGGTCGTCCCATTCCACTTGTCGCCGGGCATCATCATACTCAGCTACATCATCAGTCTGTGCGGAGCGATATCGACGCTGGAGTTGATGAACAGGAGGACGTCACGCAAGGGCCTTTACAATCATTTGCTTCTGATAGGAGCGGCGATTTCGTTGGGTGGTGTTAGTATCTGGTGTATGGTAAGTTTATCCCTTCATTCTACCATATCCAATACAGTACGACCTCCTCACTAACCCCTTTTGATGCAACGGGTTGACAGCACTACATTGGCAACCGAGCCATCATCCTCCACCACGGCGAAGTCGCTCTCCAAATCGCTTACCGCGCCGACCTCACCGCCGCCTCCTTCTTTGTGCCCATCATCGTCTTGCTGTCTGCTTTTCTCATCACCGCCAACACCACCATCATCACCTGGTGGCGCATCCTCTTGTGCGGTGCGCTATCAGGCATCGCAACATGTGGCATGCACTACCTCGGTTCGGCAGCCATTCGCAACTACAAATGCAGCTATGGCACGGGGTACGTGGTGGGCGCGGCGGTGATTGCCGTGTTTGCGAGCACGGCGGCGTTGACGCTGTTTTTTGTGTTCAAGGCGCAGTGGACGAATAGCTGGTGGAAGCGATTGGGGTGCGCGGTGATTTTGTCAGGCAGCGTGAGTGGCATGCATTGGTGTGCGGCGGTGGGAACGAGGTACAGGTTGCAGAATTTGGAGAGTGTGAGGAGTATGATGGCGCATAATGCTACGATTATCGTGGTGCCTTTTTTGGTGAGTCGTCTTGGGGAACATCAACATGAAGCATCTGGTGTGCAGGAGGGAAGAAAGAAGGAAAAAAGAGCTAACGGCAACAGGCCATCTCTTCGTGTTTGGTCATGGCAGGCGTGGCCTTCCACTCGAGCAGGGTTCGCAAAGTCTATGCCAGCAAAGCGCAAAAGATCACACTCGCCGCTGCCATATTCGATGACCATGGCCGAATCCTCGTCACTCCGGATGGTAACCTCCCCAGCGAGGAGATCACCACCACTTTCCTCCAAAAGGTTATACACAAACACCCCTTTTACTCTTTCCCACCCTCGTTTCACGCTAACATACATGACAAAAATAGACCCAACACGACGTCTTCTCAACCGGCCACCCCCTCTTCCACTGGATCTACCAAGCCTCGCGCGACTGGTACCTCATCTCCAAAATTGCCGACAAGATGGAGCTGCACCTGGCCTCGCTTCCGCACAGTCCCACCTCGTACTCGCACAAAGCACGCATGGGCATCGAGTTTATCGACGAAGAAGGGAAAATCATCGAGGACTACGACGTGGTCTTCCGGGAAATGTTCTGCTTGGCGACCGTCGACCTCTCGACGAAAATGAACATGACGCTGGACGAAGCGGGCGTTTTGTGGGATGAGATTCTGACAACAGGAGGTGGGATGACGAGTGGAGTGCATGGTCCGGACTCGAACGCCAGTGGTGGATTTGATAAGAGGAAGGGATCGACTTCGACTTCGGCGGCGGAGATGTCGCAGAAGACGATCTTGGAGGAGCTGGCAGAGAAGGGAATGATCCAGACGGGCGATCAGGGACATGGTTCGTTGATGTTCTTGGTTAAGAGGGTGCAGGGAACTCATGCGATCGACAAGCTCGAGGCTTCGGGACACCTTTTTGCGGACCTGCACCAGGTCTGCAGGATCATGAACAACAGCATGCAGATTCGGACGGGCAAGTTGGAAGAGAAGTTGAGGTCGATGGAACGATACACGCAAGACGCGATGCTGGATCCGGGCGTACACGTTGGTCTCTTTGCCATCCGGGCACGAGTGGACATCCAACAATTCGATGTCATGGTCCGCAAAGAAGCGCGCGGTTTGCTCCCCAGTGTCAAGCTGCCCATCGAACGACTCGACTCCTCCGACCTCGCCTTCCTCCGCCGCCACGACGGAATGTCCATGTCCTACTTCCTTAAACGGTACCGGCACAGCGAGGAGATTCCCCAGCAAGACGCCAAGATTGCTCGCATCCTGTACGACGCCATCAAGGATCTCCGATCACTTGTCGACGACACGCTGTTCGATGAGGCAACGCTGGTGGCCAAAGTCTCCCAGGTGCCGTGCAAGTCGCCCGACAATGACTCGCGCACCTTTACTTGCTCCATGCTCACCTTCTGCATGATGATTCCTATTCACACGAGCGTCAACTGCCCGCAATTTGAGTTCAGTCCCCTGCCATTCTTCAAGGTGCGGCAGTTGGCCTACAAGAACTCGCCTTACCACGGCGCTTTCGCTCGGTCTGTCCATCGCGAGATCTACCCGATTCTCAACAACCTGCGGACAACGTCAACCGCGACCAACAAGCGACGAGGAGTTCCCGCATGGTTATCCTCCTCCTGGCTTCATTCTTCGATGGCGATGCCGATCCTCCCCTTCTGGCGACGGCCGAGCCACAGATCCCACGACCTCCACCCCTGGCGTCACCAGCGCAAAGACGGCATGGACTCTTCATCCCTCGTCTCTTCCAGCAAGGAAAATGTCCTCCAGCCATCTTCGCACCGGAGCGTCTCAACCCACTCCCTCGACGTCTACAGCTCCATCATCTCGGACGACAATAAAGGAGGGATCCAAATCCAGCTGCAGCCACAATCGCCTCCTCGACTCTCGCCTTCCCCTTCACCATATCCTGGCTCAGCAGAGCAACAGCAGGGGCAACAACAACAACCAACCGAGGAGATGATGGCCCACCCTACTCTTCACCTGTTCCCCCCACGCGACACAAAGCCACGACAGCTTTCCTGGGGCGGCATCATGATCTCCCAAGATGTTTCCATCTCCGTCGATGACTCTGCCCTGGCTGTCTCTAGTTCGCAGCATACGTCGCCGCATCACCATTTGCGTAGCAACCACCGCCAAGGCAACCATCAGCATAGTAACAGCGCAGGAGGAGCATTCGATCTGCAGATGCAGCAGCATGGAGGGAAAAGGAAGCGGTTCCTGAGTACTTCGGGAGATAAACATGGGCATCATCATGACCGAAAGAACCAGCACGCCAAATCAAGGCCGCGATCAGGTTCCATGAGTGCGGAATTGACTTTGATGTCGTCGTCGACCACCACGACAAGCCCCTCTCATCACGACCATCCTGGTACAAACCGCCGCAACTCCTATCCCACTAACCCAGGGGCACTCGACCTACACTCATCACCCGACGATCATCAAGCATCCGAGCAAAGCGTGATAAGCTACAGCCGTACACACCCCTTACCTCATAACACGCACGGTGGCGGCGGCCTCGGTCAGGGCCTCGGCCAACTTGGCCCCTTGTCACATGCAACAACCCTTTCACTTTCTGATCCACTAGATCACTCGACCTCGGCTTCTACCTCCAGCTCCATATCCCACCAAAAACAACAACAAAAGCCGACGTCCCCTACCAAATCCAACTTTAGCTTGGCCGTCGACAATTACAACAAGTACAATGGGTTCGGCATGGACGGCGTACATATAAGCGGCGGCGGCGGTGCCAGCGTGGGTGGTCTCCGACTTGGAGCAGCGAGCAAAGTGGAGGTGAAGAAGGGAGAGGAGGTGGTCATGACGTTTGTGGATGATTTGTTTAGTGTCTGTGTTAATAGCTCGGGGGCGGGAGGAGGGGCAGCGGGAGGGGAGAGGGTAGGGTGGAGGAGGTGAGGTTGATTTGCGTTTGAGATGTCATTTGCTTGAATGGATGGAATATGATGGAAGCGATGAAATGAATGAGAGGAAAAGGACGGCGAGTTGTTTCATGTGCGAAGGATACCCCCCACACCTTTATAATGTAAATATTTCTCTCTGATGAATGCACATACCTCTACCCATTTAGCTTGATGCCGATGCAGTGATGTGGACTTCTACTTGAGAGGGTGAGGTGGGCGGAGCAGGATGGTCTGGATCGATAACGTTTGAATGGTTGGTGTTCGCCCACAATGGAATGATAATGAATTAACCTGGAACGTTCAACGGTTCAAAAGCTCAAGATACAGCGTGAAGCTGCTGTCTCGTTTCTGGTAAATACACTCCAAGTCAGCATCACTTTCTGGTAATCAGGTATTCCAACGCGCCTTTCCCAAGCCCAGCATGTATATCCCGTGGTTTTGCCCTTGTTGATCGACTAACCTGGGGTATTTTCTCCCACCATCCGCTAAAACTGCATCCCCAACCACTCGGCCCTCAAACGACATTGCGCTCCCTTTCGCCCTCCCTCCTCGAACTCGTCGGCAAGGGCAACAGCCGGTGCAGCCGACTCACAATCTCGGTGTAATCCGGCTCATTCTCTGCCGTGATCACACCATGTCTCACCAAAAAGTCGATCATAACCACCGCACAACTCGGCTTGAACTCAAGCCTCTTCATGGCCGTCATCACCTCATCTGTGTCCATGACCGCCCAACTGTCAATATCTCCCGGCACTGGCTCGAACCTAAAGTCTCTCCCCTCATCAGGTAGCTCCAAGTCATAGACGTACAGCACGCCCGGGTTGATCAATCCTTCTTGTCCCGGCCCGGCGCGGCGGTCAGAGATGTTGAGCCAAGTCACCGTGCCCGCCGCTTTCGCATTCGCCCTCACAAACTCGTCGCTCAACGCGGACCCCGCTTCCTCGACGGCTTCCCGGACTATACACTCCCACGGCGTTTCACCCCTCGCCACTCCGCCCGCCACTGCCTGGTCCAACTTGCCCGGATAGGTTGACTTGCCGTAATCGCGCCTCGGGATCCAAAACCGTAGGTCCTTGCCAAGCTCCCTTTGTTGTTCATCATCGCCATCCTCTAGCGATGGGGTTGACCGAACGCGCGAGTAAACAGTCATGTGTGCCCCCCTCCCTATCATGCCCAATAAGCCTATCGCCGACCGATCAACGCCCACATCGAACTTGGCGCCAACAATGGGGAACTGCTCCCCTTTCTTCTTGGGTCCCAGAATTTTGCTCAGAACGTTGTCTTGTCTGGCGATCTCAATTTGCTCATCCAGGATCCTCGAACAGGCAACTTCCCAGGAGCCGTTGTCCTCGGGGAGCAGGTCCTCGGCTGAAGGCGCGAGAAGGTCGACTGCTTGGTTGCCGACGTCGAGGTAGAAGTGCTTGGTCCAGTGCATGTTGCTGATGACCTCGTGGGTGAGGAAGCCATGGGGAGCGGGGTCGTAAGGGAGATGGAAAGTCCAGAGATTGGAGAGGGCGCGTGAGTAGGGGTCTAAGTCTGAAGAGGGGGCTGCTGGAGGGGGCGATGTGGTAGGGGCCGCTGAGGCCGCACGGGAGACGGTGGTAGCGCGCGAGACAGTGGTGGACGACCAGGTTTGGAGATGGGGGCAGCAGGGGTAGAGGAAGCTGTGATGGTTGGGGGGTCCAAGTGGTTAGTGGTGGTTCACAGCAGGGTACTTCAGGCAGTGGTGTCATGACTCACTTGTCGCAGTCTCTAACCACTTCAAGGAGAGTTGCGGGTTCGGTCATTTTGGGCGATGGTAATGCTGATGTTTTCTCACGGAATTCCTTTTCGATTCTGTTATTGGGGCTGTGTTCTGATTGAGGGTCATTTGAGACCTGTGACTGGCTTCGTTTCTTCTTGTAATTGTAATGTGAAAATAAAGAAATACGGGAAAATGAGAAGAACGAGAGACTGTCGTCAAAATGTGGATCCGAGATCTTTTCTCTGGTGTTGCCGATTGGTCAATCTGGTTTGGCAAGGGTTCCTTTGTGGGGAAATGGGCGCCGTGTTAGTGCAGCGGTCCAGTAATGACGCTGTAACTGCAGTGCTGTGATCGCTATAATTTCAGAAAGGGCTGGCCCTGTGATTGTAGGTCTTGATGGTGGATGGAAATGCTGTATAGCGTATGTCCACTGATGACGGAATTCAGAGAATCGTCGGATGAAGTGTTACAGTGGTCCCTTAAGTAGGCAGGTAGGACAGGGCCTGCATCCGACGTGCCCTGACCTACAGTAACATGCCGGATCAGAGCAGAGGAGCGAATATCTTCCACACTGGAGGAAACGGGTGATCACGACCAGACACACTTCAGGTCTTCCTCCTTCAGTCTCCTAGGGAAAGCGCTGCCTCTTGTACTGTACTCCATTCTTGCCAGTCTACAACTTCCCTCACCTCTTCTTTCGCCTTTTGGCCATTCGCTTCTCCTTCTCTTGCTTGCCCATTCTTTGGACTCCTTTTCTTCCAGGCTCAAAATGTCCTGGTTTTAATTGGAACGGCACGGCGGTGTTGGTGGACAAAGGTTATGAGACAAGACTGTTGTGGCCGTGGAGTGTTGTCAAAGATCGGCAAAGGTTGCAACTGCCGAAGGGGTCTTACCTTTTGACGAAGTACCATTGGGCAAAAAGAGAAGTAAGACACAAGACACAGTAGGTCAAAGTTTGTGGTCCAGACACCACGGCAGATGCACGAAGAACCGAATGCTATTCGAACCGAAAACTCTCATTAAGCGCTACCTATGTTATGCTAATTGTCCTTGCTCAACAACAACGGCAATAAGCGCCGTCCAACTGTCGAGCCATAAAGACCTCAAATCCGCCATCATAACCGATGCTAGAAGTTTAAGCCATAAAAACCGAAAAAAAGAAAAACTGACTGATAAAGAAAAGACTGACTGGCTGAAAGTAGCCCAGCCCAGGGTATCAAGCAATGGACCGAGACGAAAACATGACCCGCCGCAACTCCACGCTCCTTTCTGTTCCGTTCCATTTTCAAACTCCGCGGCAAACAGGGAAGTGCCAGAGACACACGATACAGGAGTGCCGTCAATCCTCCTCTCATCTTTGTATGACCTCCTCCGTTCCCATTGCCGCCCAAGGAAACATGAACTGATGACCCTTCGCTAGGTATGATGTGCCTTTGATGTACCCGTCCGATACTGGAGGTACCAGACCCATGTTGATGATTAATTCCCACGCTAAAGCAAATAAAACCAATCCTTGATGCTGATGCCAATGTCCGATGTCGATGCAAGATGCTGCAAGACCAGAAGCCAATGGAGTTCGTTGTGAGAGAAATCTTTCAAATCTCCCCCTCATCACAATCCTCCTCCTGCTCCCGCTTCAACTGCTCAGCAGCTTCCACCTCGCTGCTATTTCCAGCATCCTCGCGAACCTCAGTCTTGACCTTCACACCACGGTCGCTCTCCTCACCGGCACTGGGGGCATCTTCCATCTCGCTATCCTCCTGCTCCTTCTTGATCTTCTTGCTCGCAGCCTCCTCCGCCGCCTTGGCAGCAGCAGCAGCAGCCTTAGCCTGAGCCGCTCTGCCGCGGGGAACAGCAGTCTTCTTGGGTGAAGCAGTCTTGGCAGCAGCGGCGGTAGTGCGAGGCTTCTTGGCCGCGGGACCCTCCTTCTCAGTGGATTTGGCGGAGCGGCCGCGTTTCTTGGTGATAGGGATGATGACTGGCTCTGGCTGTTGCTCGTGTTCTTGCTCAATCGAGACAGCAACATCCTCAACATCGCTGCTCTGCTCGGACTTGACGGGTGTCTCCTCCTCCTCCTCGTCGTCTCCGATGGGGGTATCCTCCTTCTTGATCTTGGTCTCCTTCTTGACTGTCTTCCTCACAGCAGGCTTCTTCTTGTCGGCGGCCTTCTCGGTAGAAGCGTCGATCTTGATCTCCTCACTCTTGACGCTCGAAAGTTCAGACTTGTCGCTTTCAGCCTCAGACACCGGCTCGTCCTTGACATCAGCAGCGGGCTTTGCTTTTCCGTTGGCCTTCTTGCTTGAAGCGGCGCCGTTGGCAGCGGCTTTGCCCTTGGCCTTGGTGGGCTTGGGCGGGAGAGGGATATCTGGCTTCAGCTCAGAGATCTTCTTCTTGAGTGCCGACCAGGCGTTGGAGGCGCTGCGGTGGTTGGCCATGCCGAGGTGGTTGGCGAGCTTGACGTAGTCGACCTAGGAGGGATTAGCATTGGTTGCATGTGGGTGGGAGTGGTGATGACGAGGTGAGGTTGGGGTGAGTGAAGTGAACCAGTATGATGCATGTTGTGGATGCATGAAGGAGAGGCATGATGGGGAAGGTGAATGGTGAATGGTACTGATAAAGAAGAACAAGAAGAAGAAGATGATGATGATGATTACCACGATAGTGATGAATCATGATGGAAAACAAAGAAAAAGTGCGACCTACCACAGGCATTTCGGGCATGCACAAGAAGGACATGACGAGAGTGTCAACCTCACGCGCGGTGAAAGGGCCCTTCTCGGAGGCATCAACCTTGGGAGGCATCTTGATTGCTGATTGAAGAAATGACAAAGAAAAGTCGCGTGTGGACGAGTGGCGATCCTAGCACAGAAGATGTGACAAGGAAGTTGAGATTGTTGATGGATGACAAGTGTGGATGGATGAAGGAAGAGTTGAGCACGGAAGAGGTGCGAAGTTCTGAAGAAAGCTGTGCGGGGTGCGAGTTCGAAAGTTGGAAAAGTGGTGGTGGGAGGAAGATGCAACAGGAAGAGTTGGCGGGAGATTGGGGGGGTTCTTATATTCTGGGAAATGGTGCGGGATGCAGTGAAATTTCTGGCAAGTGTCAGACCGATGTTGGACCAATGTCAATGTGTCGGGGACAGGTGTCATGGGCTGGCAAACACCATGAGTGTGGCTAGGACCTTGATGTGCAAAGTGGTTTTGGGTGGGGAAGGGTGGCAGGAAATGTTGGGACGGGACTTGTGAATGCCAGGTTTGCAGAATATCTGTTTGCAATAAGGTTGGTGATGGCAAGGTGAGGTGGGAGGTGAGAATTGGGGCGGGTGGTGAGAGATATCCAAGGCGGGAGGTGGTGATGCGGATCCGGCTTATCACAGCTACAGCACGCGCATGGGGTGGTTTCTACGGGAAAAAGTAGAAATGACTTCTAGGCATTACGCGCGTGGGTTGAACAAGTTCAAACTAGCAATATCTGATAGTTTGGGCTGACGATTGTGGTCTTGGGCGGCGCGGTCAGCTTGATACCCATATCACTTCCAGCTTTGGGTCGATCATCACGGGCCCGCTCCGGCTGCACCGTGAGAACGGGCAGAAACATTCACCGGACATTGGCACAGCACGTCATAGCGAGTCTAGGGCACTGCATTTACCATTTGTGGTCGAGTGTCAAACGGTCTCGTCAAGGTTTGGATCTGAACCAGAAATGGGTCCTGACAGTCCAGCATTTTGTGCACAATTCGATGGATAGAACTCCACGATTAAGGGAGAAACTGATATATTATCATTTACATCATGGCTATATGCTTACAACAGCCACTAATCTGAGCTGTGGCCGTGATATTCTCGAGTGTCTACAGTGCCTTTCGACTTCCAAATTTGCCAAGACTCCCCCCTGGCTCACATCAACATCAGAACTCGACCTGAAATGCATAGATCACAACAACGATCGCAATCCTTCCATAAAGGATTGCAAACCGATCCATCCTCAACATTGAGCAACAAATGCCTGATCTTGATGATGATGCAGTTGTGTTGTTTGCATGCGGCTCCTTTTTTTTTTTTTCCGGCGCCAGACATGGATGGATGAAAGGAGTTCGGTCTTGTCGTCCCCAACTTCGTCACATCTCAAACGAGCTCGAGCTGGCTGCCTCTTCCACCTCTCTCGCACTGCCGTCCTAGATATCGCCCATTCGGGTGTTCAGTGTCAGCTGTTTGTCCATTCGTCCCAAGCAAATTGAGCACCTCAGCAGTCCCAATGGCCATAAATGCATTCACCTCGACTGCCCAACTTTGAACCTTGAGGTCCTTTGCACGACACCACATTAACTCTGTTCTGGAACATTCACCTTTGCATCCATGTCAATTATCCGATCAGCAGGTCCAATTCAGTTCCGCCAAAGTACCCTGCGCCCGCCAAATGTCATGTACACGTACGCATTGGCGTCCCCGACCACCTGTATCGAATGCACCTTTGTCTGCACATGTATTGGCGCAGGTTCCGTCCCAAACTACCCCTGAATAATATTCCCACAGGGTGGACGTTTCTTTGAGCCATCATCCTATGAGACATGAACACCTCACGCTCAGCCTTCATTTTAAAACCTGTGAACACTCAACGAATTCTCGTACCGGTGTACGGACACACTGAACATCCAAACTTCCGCACACCCTAAGGTTAGCATACACGCATCCTAGGACGATGAGGTGGAGATTTAGCCTACATAATGAAAGAATGCCGGGTAGAATGGCGGAAGGTCAAGTAGGTGGCAGGACAACCACTCGCGAGGAGCAAGGCAACGAAGGGACCATGCATGCTAGGCCTAGAAGAATATTATTGCGATACTTAATAACCAGGAACAAAATTCAAACAGAAACATGACCGAAGACAACCAAAACGAGATGCTTAGGGCCAGCCTAAGCCACAATACCCTTCTTGTTCCGCACTCCCGGACACCTTCCACAATTACAGTCATCCATCCGTCAAAAATCGACAGACACCCCCCCACGCGCCCAAGAGAACCTCGAACTCATTCAAACGTTCGGGACAAAGTGACCCTGGATGAAGAGGAGCTTGTCACGGCCACCACCCTCACCATCTCCCCCATTAGCACTCGCGGTGTTCATACTTGCAAAGCCCCCACTTGCAGCCTTGACGCCATTGGGGCGCGGAGCAGGAGGAGGAACCACAGGAGTATCAAAGATGGACTCGGCACGAGCATGGCCCTTGACCGTGTCAAGCAGAATCGGCAACGCCACGTCCAAAACCTTGGGAGCAACCTTGACCACAGCCGAGCCCATCATCTGGACTGTCTTGAGCAGTCCGTCAAAGAAAGACTCGGGCTCGGCGGAACCGCTATCACCGAGGATAACACTCTCCTGAAGATCGCCATTTTTGGCCTCCAGAACGGCTTGGAGTGCACATTCGGCCAAAACGGCACGATGAGCTAGCAAACCAGCGGCCTTGGCATCGGTAATCGGACGGTTCTTGTCAGTAGGGTTGGGCGGGGCCGAAAGGTCGGTTTCGGGTGATGCAGACTTTTTGGAGAGGTAATCGTCGAGCTGCTTCTGGCCAGTGGTAAGGACAGCCCGAGCACCGTCAATCAGCGCAGGCTTACTAGCCCGAAAAGCTTTGCCAATGAAAGCACTGAGGTTGTCGAAGAACTCAGATTCGGCATCATCAATCTTGCCCACACTTGTGTATTGCTTGACCTCCGTCTGAGTAACAGCGTTAATGAAGCCAGCAATTTGCGGGTCGCCGGCATCGAGGCCGTCAGCCTCGGGTCCTGTGGGCTTGGGGACCTTCTTTACGCCACTGACTTGCTTCCTGCCAGTGGCGAGGTTCTCGTTGATGGCAAGATGAAGGCCGGCCTGGGACAGTAGAGGAACCAATTTGGTACCAAGCTTGTTGGCCTTCTCCGAATCGAACCGGCTACCTTTATACTTGGCTTGCATGTTGTCCATGATGCGCTTGTTGGCTGGGCTGCGCTCCATACGGAGAACAGTCTGAAGTGCAGCTTCAGCTAGGACAGCACGTTGCGCTATACCGTCCTCAAGCTTGTAGGATGGCGCCTGGTCTTCGTCCAAAGCAGATTCCTCACAAACTTTGCTTAGCGCGCCGAGGGCAATGCCACCAATGGCAGAGACGGGGCCTCCTAGAGGGCCGAGAAAAGGCGAAGCAAACGAAAGACCTTGTTGGGCGATGGGCGCGACAACGCGGCCAATGTCCTTCAAGACGTCAAGGAATCCCTCCGCCTCATCGAGGTCAACCTGGTCCACGGGCTTCACGCCAAGAATACCCTGGCTTATATCCGTGACCAAAGGACTGCCGTTCTTTGGGAGACCGGCTAGGAGCGCCTTGTAGTCGTTACCGTACTGACCGCCAATGACGCTGGCAGAGTTGTTACCAGATCCGCCGTAGCAATGGGTGCCAATAACAGCATCCGGCACTACGCGACTACCGCTGAACTTGAATTTGAGGACAGGAGCGCCAGACTGACCTAAAACAGGCACGCTGTTAGATCGATTCACTACCTAGTGATTTAACACGCTGACGAATGCTCACCTCCGGCAGTCGAAATTGGGTATTCGAGCATGTTCCTTTGGCTGACATTCAAGTCAAATGCGACTTGCTCGACAAGCTCATACATCTCGGCGCCTTTCTCGTTGTTCATTGACTTGTCTCCCGGATAGCCGATGACGCCCAGGAGAGTGCTATCCTTGAGAGGTGTGTCCTGGTACTTGAAGAGGTTAAGGTTGCCGTCGAAGGGCTGGTCAACCTTGACAAAGGCAACATCACGGCGACGATCGCCATCAATGATGTACTTGGATGTGGTGACGACCTTGGCGGCAGAGCGGAATTGGACGGATGGATCGCTAGCCGAGTCTTTCCCGTGGTATCCGATGAAACATTTCATGTGAGTGAGACGACCGAGACCGTGACCATCATCGCCGCGGTGGAAGACGCAGTGGCCGGCAGTAACAAAAGTGTCGGAGGCGACAAGGTAGCCAGTGCCGATACTAGAGGAAAAATGAAATTAGCGATAGCCCGCTCGTCCGCAACACGAGTGGCCATAAACTTACGCCCAGCGGTTATCACCAGCACCCATTCCCTCATAGCGCATGGCAAGCTTGATGATAGCTTTCAAGGAGATTAGCAATGGTACGTCAAGAAAAGTGATTCAAGCTTTGATCTGAAGCCACTTACAGCGATACTTTCCACCGTCCGCAAAGTCTCTAGGGTGAACCTTCTCGCGGTTGTCTGGATCAAAGACAGATTCTTCGGTATGGCAACCATCCTCAAGCAACCCAGACTCTGGCTTTGAGGCCAAGCCCTTGACATCGGGGAGCCTCCAAGAAGCGCCGGGGGCCTTGGAGGTCTTGAGAGCTTGGACAAAGTCGATGTTGGACATGATGGGCAATGATGAAGAATGGAAGTTGTTTGAGTGTTTGGATGTGTTGTCAACTGGTGTTGTGATTGTGATGTTGATGGTGATGGTGATGCATTGTGTTGATGGGAGGATGGAAAGAGGGTTTTATACATGGCATTTCTGACCTCAACAACTCTCTGTTCCATCTTCGGTATCCTCATCAAGCGCGTCCTGGAAACCGGCGTCCCATCCTCGTATGGCCATGAACCAATGGCTCTCCTCAGTCTGGCATCACGGCATCTCCGTGAGAGTCGATGTGTGAAGACCAGATATTGTGGCGTCCGCACCTTCGTTGAGTGGCCGGTCCATCACGCAAGCGAAGCCGACTATCGAATGCCATCACAACGAGGTAGGCTGGTCGATCCATGAGAGAAGTCCATTAGTCTTGCTGTGCTCGGCGAGGCATAAACATGTTGGTTGCGTAACAAATTGTTTATTGAAGCCCGAAAGGGCATGATATCCCATGCCAATGCTGCCCTGATCGGAGCTGAAGGAAGAAAGATGTGTTGCGCCCGGCGGTTATCCTAGGACCATTTGCCTCGTTAGTCAGTGATATCAGCTTGGAGCTAGCACACGGGTTCGTACATAGCTCTCTCTCGGCCTTCAGGACATGACTTGGAGTGATGATGTCGTCAACCAAGACAGACTAGTTGCCAGTCACACGTGGGGATCGCCAGTGATGTGCTTGCGGGGGAGACCATGTTGCCGACATCAGCCTCAGCCCAGGGATTAGAGATCTGTTTGGGAAAGCCACGAGCTAGTTCCTAGCTGACGCGCCGAAGAAGGATAGAGAGGTGGGGTAGGAGGAAGAGGTCTAGAATGGTCCCTCGTTGTCACATCGTGGATCCGTTCGGAGGCCTGTCGTCAGGAATGGCACTATTGAAAGAGGCCTCGTGGGTTCTGTAGTGTACGATGATGTCCGAGCGCAATTCTGGGATTGAATTTTCCGAACAGAACTGGCCGAGGCGGGTTCGAAGACGAGAATGTCCATGGATTGAAGTTTGCGACGGAAGAACCGAATGAAGAATCCAGAAATTGAAGTCCAAACAAAGATGGAAGGAGGAAATTGACGTCGGATGAACGATTGACAAAATGCGGGGAGCAGACAAGACGGACGGCGGGGGAACTGAAACATGGATTGCTACAGCGCACTGGCCAACCGCTCTCCAGTGCTCTTTGCGGTGCAGTGCCGACCGTTACAGTGGCTGCAGCGCTAAGGACTGGAAGCAGGTACGTACCTGCAGTTACCCACTTGGCAACTTCAATGCATGCGGGCATCTGTGGTTCCTCCTTTCTTCCCCATTCATTGCATCTTTACAAACGCCTCTTCCTTCCGTGGAGGGAGCGTTGACCGATGGCTTGATGCGGCCACTTCTTCATTTCCGCCATGCAGTGGCTGCGGCGGGAGACCTAGCGAAGGACGGAAAAGGCGCTTTCCGTAGCCGCTACTTAGTACTTACCCCCGGACGCAATGGCCACCGTCGTCCGAAACCAGCGAGTGTGAACTATCGAATTTCAGCCCCAAGAACAGAGGCACATGATGGAATGTTTCCCAGGCGAGGGCCACCTACGTACTTGTCACGGCCAGAAAGGTATGATCAACCGTTGAATTAGGTCTGAATCGCTGGACTGAATGCTGCTGAAAAGCTCAACGTGGGATGGCGCAAAGCCACGGCGGTTGTCGCAAGTCGTTCCTTTTGGCTCGTGTTCGCTGTGTCGGTTCAGTTGTTCGGAGCAATGTGTCGGAATTCAACAAAGATGACGGATCCCGCTCATTGCCCTTCCTCCAAACCAACAACAGCCGAAAACGTACCGTTCCTGCTTGCAGCTGAGGTTATAAACACAGATTCCAGCATTTGCTTTCAACAAGGCCCTATGGCGCAACGGTAGCGCGTTCGACTCCAGATCGAAAGGTTATCCGTTCAAATCGGGTTGGGGTCAAAGCTTCAAGCATCACTTTTTTGTTCGTTTTTGGACCTTGCATCCTTTTTCTTCCCATCTTCTACTTTTTTTTTTTTTTTTCTTTTTTTCTTTGCTCTTTCCCTTTTGCTATTTTGGAAAAATGAATCTCATCAGCTCAAGCCCTCAACCCAATTTCTGCACCTCATCCATCGCCAAAATCCCCGTTCTGCAATATTCACCCACAATTCCCATCATCATCACCACCACCTATCATTCTCTCCATCAACAAAGTATACCCCCTCCCATCCTCCCAATTCCTCACCTCCAACCTCCACCCCTCCACAAACGCCCCGTCCCGCCTCCAGCTCTCTGGGAACCACGCATCATCACGAACCCCAATCTCCACCTCCCTCAGCCTCTCATACTCCCCCGTCTGCAGCTGGTCCCTCAACAACCCAAACTCATATCTCCCCACCGTGTTCGCCCTATCGCACTCCAGCTTCAACCGCCTGATTTGCCTCTTGTACATGGCCACAAATTGGATCCCCAGCCCGCCAATGTCAATCATGTCCAACGCAAAGTTCACCCAAAGATACCTGGCGGCCGCCGCCGCCGCCGGACTGCACCGCCCCGGACTACGGTCCGTGTCCCATTCCGAAAAGGCTTGCGTGTATGCCTTGAGCCCGACCTCGCGGGATTCGTGGCAGGTACGAAGAAGCGCGGGCGCGGACGTGGTTGGGAGCAGGCTATAGGCGGCTTGGGTAGTAAAGGGACGCCAGTGTCTCGTGCCGACGCGAAGTAAGACGGTGCGGGGGGTGATGGTGGATTCCCATATCTGGAGGCGGAGTTCGAGAGGGAGGAGAGGGAAGAGGTGGAAGGTGGTGGTGGTGGTGGGAGACATAATATGTCCTCGATGGACTGCAGTGAGGCCGGTTGGGTACCTAGTAGCTTGGGCGACAGAGTGATCTTTTGTTTTTCTTTTTGTCTTGGCTTGCTGCGCATGTGGCCACGCTTCAGTTTGGCCGGTGAGGAGCTGTTGTGGTTCGTTGAGATGACTTCCACATGTGCACTGATCGACCTGGCGCATGGAAGGATGGCTGCCCAAGTTGTTGGCCGCCCCTTAATACTTACCCTAAAAGTATTCTTCTCTGCTTATCCTTTTCTTTCCCTTTCTCATTTTTTTTGTTCTCGAGAAGGTGGAAGGATCCGTTTGCATTGTTACCTTACCACCCCGGCCTTTACCCCATTTCCCCAAACTCCGAAATCCTCTAGTGGAGAAGGTCCAGCAGGGGTCCCCGCCATTCGCGTACCACCTACTATGTAGAGGTAGGTACCCCTAAAACCTTGGCAAGTCAACGATCAACTATTGTACTCCAATTGACTCCCATTGACTCCCATTGACTCTCATTGCTTCCTTCGTTGCGAGCCCAGTGGCTGCCATTGTCACGAACCCTTTTCCAACCAAACTTTTTCAATTGAGCGTAACCCAAACTTGGGCCACGCTAAGTTGTGCACGCTTATGTCAGCGACGCATGATACGTCAGTCCGGGGTAGAGCAGCATATACAATACCGACCTATCTACCAGTACCTTTTACGGTACGAAGTGACCGTGTGGTTGGCTACGGCTGGGCGGGGTTCATAACTTCATAACCTGACCGAATTCCCATTTGTGTGGAAATCTTGGATCTGGATTCTTCCTAGAACCACTGTGACGAACAAACGCGCGCGTCCATGAGTCGTACGACATCAGGTCTTTAAGCTTGAAGTCCTGGTTTTCCCCATCAACAGCATTATCTCCACATCCAAAGGCCCCGTCACGATGACTACCACCTTACTGGCTACCTGGAGGGAGTCGTGAAGCGTTTGTGGAGGGGTGGAGGAATGGATTGTACGATCAGTTCAAGAAATGGAGATGAGGATGGAGATGGGGAGAGGAGCGAGGATGGGAAGACGGATGGGAAGATGTGGGTTACGTTGGTGTTGGAGAAAGAAAATCCATGTGCAGCGGATAGTTGTTCTTGACAGTAGACCTGTCGCATTCAAGGAACCAGTTTGATACGGGGAGCCATCTATGGAAGATGTACAGGATCAATCATGCCTTTTCCTGATATGGGCTTCCATCCCTACGATCGTCGTAGCGCCTACGGCAGACTTCTCTTAAGGTTATTGCTTGTTGACGAAGAGATGCCACCACATAACTCCCGCGAGCCATACCACGGGAAAAATTAGGAATCACGTTAAGCACGTTCTGCGTTGGGCGTCATGCAGGGTTCAGTAATGCAGCAATATTATGTTGACCACTGGTGCACGTCAGCTGAAGGGGGTTGGAAGGATCAGCAAGAAAAGCAAGAGCGAAGAGCTGCTTTCGACAAGGCGGACCGGAAGAAACCAGAGTTCGAGCTGATCAAGTCTAGTACACTCAACGGATCACCAGGCCAAGACTAAAGAAGACAGGGAGCAAAGGCGGAAGGAGCAACTCGAGGATAAATGTCCGGATATGAGGGTAAGGAGGACTGGAGGCCGAAGGAAACAACACCCGGCGCCATAAATGAGATTTCGAAGAGGAAAGAGTGCCTGACCGATATCTCAGCTGAGGCAGGAACCTATCGTCAGTCAAGCGTGAAGAAGTTGCAATGAGGCGAGAGGGTCAAAGGGCACCCCTCGAACCACAGCCGGAGCTCTTCCCCTTCCGCCACTTCTTCCACATTCTCCCACCCCCTCTTCCTTCTTCTTCCGCTTACCCCCCTCATGTCCTCCTCCTCCTCTTACTCCTCCTCCCCCTCCAACTCTTAATGTTGATCCTGTCGCCTTCGTGCCCCGGCTTTGGTCCGGCAATCGTACCAGCACCAATGGCGTTTCCAACCACAAAAACCTGGACCCTGTCGGCATATTTGTCCGACCTTTCAAGTATTGCTTGTCGCATAAAATTAACCCATTGTCCCGAAGATGGGCAAACCTAGTACCTCTAAATCGCAATGCCAGCCCGCTTTCTTTTCCTGATGTTGGAAATTGGTACTTTGACAGACGCACTTCGGGCTCATAGCAAGAATGAGTCCACAAACGCCTCCTTGACTGATTGTTTTGTTTCGACTTTCTGTAGACGTTTGTGTTCAGTTCGGCCGCTGAAGCGTATTTTCAGCGCTCGGAGACGTCTGCTGCTTGGGTCGAAAGAGTGGTGGAAATACGTTGAGTGTCCCTCTTTGTTCAAAACCGCTGAGCTTTTCTTCTGCTTTCTGTCCGGGGACTTTTCTTCCTCGCAAGGAGACCTGTAGGGCAATGTCATTAGCACGCTATCCATGTCAGTGAAGGTGGGAAAGAGACAAAGTGCCGAACGGCGTTAATGAATTCAAAGTACCTACCAGCCTTCCCTGGATTCCTTTGGTCGTTTCTGAAACAGCCAGCCCTGATCCCTCTGTTTGGCCTGCTCTTTTGCTTCCAAGTGTCGCTCCCTTCATCTCTTCAAGTATCTCCTTCATCAACTTGTAGTTCAATGGATTGATTTCTTGCTCTTCGCGACCTTTACCAGGCGCGGAGTGTCCAGGCATGCCCTCAAAGTACCTCATCAATCGCCAAGTATCGAAAAGACGTCTCTCTTATTGCTTTGTTGACTCTGTATTCCTTAATGCCTTGTAGCAAACGCTCGTAGCAAGCACCAAAGCTCTGAGGAACTCTTGGAACAAACACAATATCTCGTCTGGCTCCTCCAATGGTCGCGACCCATGACGGGAGTTTTGCGCTTTAAGGGAGCAGTGAACAGCCGCTATGATGCTGTCGCGACAGATACAGAAGCAACCTCGATCCCTACACCTAGGCTACCTCTACAAGTACCAGTTCCAATGGAGCGCTTGAGATGGAGTCTAGAGGTACAATGGTGTTTGTTACTGTCGTTCTTCCGAGAATTCATCGCGCGAGGCTGGAAGCATGATTGAGTACCGCTCCAGTGCCACAACACTTGGAAGGAAGACTCAAAATTAGGGAAATACCTCCAACTTGCGTACCTTTAGGCATGTGGCCAAGCACCAGATGGCTGGCAAGGCCAAGGTCACTGTTAAGGCCAGTAACGTTGGCGGCCCCAGCCTGGAGGAGAATGACGATCTCCGATGGTTTCGTACAATGTTTCCATTCGGAGCAGAGCTTGCCGAGAGGTCTGTTGTTTGGCAATGACTTGTGGCGATGCTTAGCGAGCTTCATTGCGCCGGATTGAAGACTCGATCAAGGAGTGAATACGTCGCGCTCGGTCAACATAAAGTTCGGTGTAGGCGCACCGATACGGTCAGCCATGATGGCGACCGGTTGCGATATATGCCTGGGTATGCCTGTGCGACTCAAAGCGAGGCGAGGTCGACGCGGTGACTGGACTGAAGTCATCGAGGAAAGCTGGCACTCGACGGTTGTCGGTTGAGGGAGCGAGTTGACTGCTGCAAACTTCAAAGAGAGAACCTTCGATCAAAGGGAGGATAACACGGTGTTGGGGACGTAGAGAAAACGGCGACGGTGGTTAAGGGTTCGTTTCGTCCATGGTCGTTTAGTTATGCCAGGCAGTCCGGTGTCCATGTCGAGATCGGGGATGGTGATAAAATGGAAGTACTGTAAAGCAGCTTCAGACCTGCTCTACCTTGCTCAGAGACAATCAGATACACAGGAAAGATGACAAATATCTGGGCTGCTCAGCCAACTTTGATACCACGGGAAGGGTTCTGTAAAAGGGTTCCCCCAATACAGATACAAACCCAAGCGAGCAAAACATGGATGGTAAGGATCAAGAACCAGTATTCACATAGGTCCCAGACCCCTACGCGCCCGGGAGCCCCAGCCGTCAAGCACCCGAGCCCGGCGAAGACTCCATCGGATATCAGCCAAGAATCCCAGCCTCTGGACCACGTCCTCGTCACGGTTTGCACAGTTTGCCAGCCCGTGACCCGGCAAAGGTATGCCCCCCCCCCTTGACACTGGCAGAGACCGGCAAGACAGACAGCCCCCTTTGCTTGCACCAGACGATACCCCTCCACGTCTCGTAAGCTTCATTCTCTTTTGTCTTAGCTTTCGTTCCATCCACCAAAACGAAGACAAGCAAGTAACGCATTCGGTCTGTAAAGTAAGGCATTAACTCTCAACTAAACTCGTTCACGTCTTCTGCCAAACTCCTTCGAGTCTTCTTTAAATGTCTCGCGTCTACTGCGGACTCCCGTGGATATCATTGGATCGTAAACACTTTTTTCCAGCCACAATAGGCTGATCAAGACCCAATATATAGGTATTCAAAGCAGGCCTAGATCACGTAGACTGACTTTCTGAAACATTAGCAGCTCAACAAAATCACACTTGCCTCGAATTCTTCGTAGACGTAGGTACCTTAGTCTCCAAGCGCCTATCAGCAATCTCTCTTTCTCCTCGCTTCCATTTCATTGTAGGTGTGTACTAACCCAAAATGTCCAGCAATCAGGAAATGGACATCGCTGCTCTCTTTGCGGTCTTCTCGGAGACCACCTCCCAACCTCAGTCCACCGTCGCAGCGGCCGCAACCCACAACGTCGGCCACAAGCATGATAAGGAGGAGGTCAAACGGCAGATACAGGAGAGGAACAGGCTGGAAAGTTCCTGGTACAGGGGCTGGATGGCAATGAGAGGCAGTAAGTATTTCCTTTTTCGATCTTCAAGAGTTAGCCTCACTTTGTGGTAGACACTCCGGCAAAGTTCCAAGTCGCTTTCGTTATTTCACCTTGAAGTTCACTCGAGTACAAAGACAGTTGAACTAACCCTCTTTTTCCATCCAGAATACCCCCGTTTCTTCCGTGGCCGTATCATCATCCAAGATGAAAAGGACGAAGGCGGCGCCTACGCCCTCGCTTTCCAGGCGGCTCAAGCTGCCGGCTCCCACGTCAGCACGGCCAGAGACACCCAAGTGGTGATCTTCTCCGACGCCTCCATGGACCCGCGCAAGCAGACTGGCACCTGTGCCGGGGCCGGGGTAGCGTTGCGTCGCCATGACCCCAGCTTGGCGGGCGCACCCAACGGCATGGTGGAAGTGTGGGCGGGCTGGCCCGTGTGGGTAGACGAAGCCGATGCGCTCAACATCACGGGCGCAGAGACCTTGGCTCTTTCGTTTGCAATCGACGCGGCCCTGGTCGAGCTGTACCGCTTGGAGGCCAGGCTGGCGGTGGAGGAGAAGACGAGGAGGCAGGAAAAAGAGGAGAGAAAGGCGAGGGAGTGGAAGGAGAGACAGGCAAGGAAGATGGCCAAGCGGCATCGCAAGCTGGCAAAGAAGGCGAGGAGAAAGAAACGGGACACAAAGAGAACCAAGGAGCGCCTGCGCGAGAAAAGGGCAGAGAGAAAAGAGAGGAGAGTGGCCAGAAGGGAGCACAAGAGGCTGAAGAGAGCGACCAAGTCCAACCAGCGGCGGACAAAGGTCACCGTCAAGATCTTTACCGACTCCACGGGCGCCCTTCTCATGCTGGACGGCCAGCTCCCCATCACCACTGCCGGTCTGCGCATGGCCGCCACGGCTGCAATTGAGCAGTCCATGGAACTCGAACGGCGTTTCGTCAACCGCGCCGCGGCCTCTGCTCTCATGGACGTCGGTCTCGAGCTGCACTGGGTGCCTGGCCACAGTGGTCGTAAGCGGGAGCAGCACAGGAGGGCCGATGGCGCGGCACGGAGGTTGCATAGAAAGGCAGACGCCGAGGCAAGGATTGCCCGCGACTGGGCTTGTTGGAATATCAACAACTGGTCCAGAGGGTGCGGGTTCCCGGTTTCCCTCAAGGAAGTTAACGCCTATGTTGCTGACCTGAATGAGGAGTTGCCCGAGTGCGATGAGCCGGCCGTGTCTTTACCTCTACTGTTTGAGCAGATTGGCGACATGGAGTTGCCGCAGCAGCCTCTCTCCGGGTAGATCACACGGTCCCTGGCCCCAACACTGTCGACCTCGATCTCGGCTAGCAACAGCAACAGCAACAGCAACAGAAGTAGCACCAAAGAACTACCGGATTGTCGATGAACACTCTTCGGTTGCGACCACCACGCTATCCTCTCGAGGCTCGTAAACATGTAAAACTTATGTTTTGAGAAAAAATACCAGGTCTTGCCAGCTTTCCTTGCGCCAGGGTTATCTCTGCCTTCAAAATCTCGCCAATTTCAGAGTCCGTTGCCCAGGCTTTAATCCCCAAACATGGTGTCTCCAGGGCCAGGTGCCGCATATTTCTTGGACGATACCAACAGCCACACAAAATGGTAGTCGCAATGTCCGGCCTGGATACCACAGGTGAATTGCGACAGGCACCACTTGGCCTCTTTTTCTTTATTACAAAGAACATGGCTGGTTCCTTCCTTTTGAAAGGGGAAAGTGGGATACATGTAGTTTGGAAGGAAGGTCGGAAGGTGCGAATCTGTGACTTTGACAGATTCCAGGCAACATTTCGGAACCGACCTAGTGAGCTCCGGTGAAATGCACTCCACCACAAGTAGAGCCCGGTCGCGACATGGAATTCTGGAACATCAGGGCATTGGAAGTGGAGGAGGTACCACCGCAACATTGGAAGTCCCAACACGCAATTTTTCGCTCTGCCTAAGGAGTGCATGGTAAACTCCAGCGACTGATTTTATCTCTAGTTAGGTAGTTGAAGGGATCCCATGTGCAGCGCGATGAAAACGATTGGAACACAACTATCGCCTCAACAGTACACTGGATGGACAATTTGTAGCGAATTATCCGTTTCCAAGTATTGCCTTCCTCGTGACTTCTAAACCCAACGGATCCATTCTAAAGTTCGAGATTAAGGTAGCGACTGGTTTGGTCCCGGCATTAATGAGTATACATAGTACATACAGCACACATCACATGTACAGCTATCGTAGCTGCTGACAAGCGCAGGCAAGATCCCGTCATGCAGATACAACTGGATTCGGGTTAAAGCATTTGCAATGAACGTAAGTACGACAGCTACACACCAGGTAATTACGTTGATAAATAGGAAAGAAAATATCCAAATAAGGAAAGCTACTGAGCGACGGCATTGTTATATGAACAAAGGTTAGAAGATCATCCCACTTTGTGCTCTCGCCATTACTCCCTAACACTCGTAATATATCGTAAAATACAGCCATTCTTCCAATGAATCGCATTACCGCACAAACATATTACCCGAAATGTACCCTACTTGTATTGAGGAAAGCGCCTTGGCTGCCATTACCAGAATAAATTACTGTATCATCAAGCATCCCCTGCTGGACTCAATCAGAGTGATCGTTGCATGGGATCGATGTCCCTGGCCCAAGGAACGGTCCGTCGAGGTACCTGTCGGGAATGTACCTGGTGGGTGAGACAGCATTGTTCGTGCACTGCGAGCTTTCTTTTCTCGCATGCTGGTCCTTGTCTCAACAGGGATGTTATCAACCAATGAAATGACTCAATTGGTTCTTGACTTTCCTAATCGGTCAAGAGTAAGACCTTAACATGTAAACGCGCCGAAACCCGCAAAAAGTAGCGTTTCTCCGTTAGCGGCCCGAATGTCATTGACTGGGAGGCACAATGAAGTTTCGAATTTCGTCCGGGTTGGTTGCGAACAAGATGAAAGGAGTCGGGATCAGAAAAAGCATCGATTAGCCAAATAAATACAAAAGTCAAAGATAACGCAAACCAATCCTAGTTAGTTTTCTGTAACAGGCGCCCTATTATTATGGGCTGAATGAACTGCTGACTGAGAATTTTAGACATTATTTCCACCTGCTGCAAAGACCAACCACGTCGCGAAGAGAACAAGAAAGCCATAACAAACAACTAGAAGGGGAAAGAGAGGGACCTTACGAAAACAAATGATGGCTCCTCGCGCAATGAACAAATTAGCGCAACGAACAAACTATCCTCATACTTGAAAGTCTCGGTACCTGAACTGCAGTGGTGCGTGCCGCAACACTTGGATCGAAACTCTGGGCCTTTGAACGTACGGTACCTCTGCGGTAGGCGAGATGACTAAATGGGGTAGACTAGCCCCCCTACTGTTCATCGCATCCGCTGTATTTCTTTCATCTCCCTTGCCTTCCCATAGCAATGTTGCCTTCGAGTCTGTCCATATCCTCCTCTTGTTCCTCCTGATGGGATTTTGTCTTGTGCTTCTTGGTCTCTTTATGACGAGCAAAGTCCCGCTTAACATCCGTGGAAAAGCGGCAAGGGTGACAGGTGTAGCGGTGGGAGACATGGTTATCGTAGGAAGTCCTGTAGACCCGTGCTTGGTTTTTCTCTTTGCGTCTGCTTGCGCTCGTGCTTGCGCTTGCTTCTTGTCCTGGAAGCTTTGGGGCTGGGGTATCGTGATTTGTGTCGTGGTCGTAGTCAGCTTCGTGGCCGTGGCCATAGTTGTGGTCATTGTCGGCTATCGTCATGGGGGTGGCGGCGGTGGTGATGGGTGGAGTCAGTAGAGGTGTGATGTTGGGCATCGTGCTCGACCGTATTGCCGAAGCCGGGTTGAGCGCGAGATTAAAACTGAGGCCAAAGTCGGGGGGTTGCGCAAAGACATCGGCATGACCGTAGTTCGGGGTACCCACGAACATAGGGGAATGCGTTCCATGGACGGCATGAGTATTGTTGTTGACAAAGGAACCGTGCGGCGATGTTGTGAAGTGTAGGGCGTTGTTGTTGTTATCGAGGTTCATGGTGTTGAACATTGTCCCTTGATATCCGCCATACGTCATGCCAGTGTCCTGAGTGCTTCCTAAGCCCTCCATGTAGTTGACTTCCGAAAGCGAGTTATTCGGGAACCACTCATAGTCGGAGCCTCCCGGTATTGATTGTTCCGAGGTTGCAAAGTTTACTGGGTATACTTCCATGCGGGACATGTCGAGCGGTGGATTGGCGCGCTGGTGGTTTATGATGTTAGTCGTCATGAATGCGCAACCTTCGCTGAATGAGGTAGACGGGGGCCGAAGGGCCAGGCGGGATCCCTAGTTGATGGTTGTTGGACGTACATGGCTGGTAGAATACAGCGTTTGGCCTTTATGTCCTAACTCATGTTGCGTATAAGGATAAATTTCTTGACCCATCCCGTTGCCATCGCGATCGACAGTCCTGTGGACACCAGAGAAGTCCGGATGGGTGTTGGACATGGACCCGGAGTCATCGTAGTTGAAGGAAGGGTTGGAGAACGGTGACCAGTTGGACTTCATCGGCGCTTCCTAGAGACAGATTTGGCGTTATAGGCGCGTGTTGGAGTCGCCTGGCGACAGGTTGTGTGCTTTGGAAGAAGTGTCGAGCAATAGGCAAGCTATCGGGAGTCTGGGTCAGCATCTGTTATTAAGTTGAGACTCGGGCAGTGGTGGAGGATGTGGCCTTGTCCGTGTCTTATAAAGTTGAATCCAATCTATGGTCCATACCGGGCTGGGCACAAACCTGGGGGTAAGTTGCGACGCCATCTTGGGTATCGATAGACTTGGTCGTCATGTCAAAGATTGAAAGCCTCGGGCCACGAATCGCAATGGGCATCCGATCCCACAGACAACGAATAGACGTGGAGACGATGATCTGGCTTGCTGGCGACGGGGCTAAGTCCGGCGATGTCGGCTGGGACTTCTGTTCAAGAACGGTACCCTTCGAGGTGGACAGGTAGTCGGAGCGCTGTTGCCGACATTGAACCGGAGGGTGGAAATCTGGGTTGTAGAGTCATTCTCCAGTATGGAGATAATCTGATTGTAAGGCTGGGAAGAGGAAGGCGCAAAAGGATGATTTGGCAGATGGATATGAGGAGGAAGATGGAAACGCGAGGCGCAATTCCCTTGCCCGCGATTCCCGCTCGTGTGTTGTTGTTGTAAAAGGAAAGTTTCCCGGAGTTGGAGTTCAGGGGAAGAACCGTGCAAGCAGACAACCAAAGGTAGAAAATGTGTGTCAAAAAATGGAACTGTTAGCAGGTACAATTCTGAAAGCCTAAGCTGGGCGTAAAAAGAAGGGTTGCGGCTAACAGGATGGGGCTCCCTGCAGAAGTCACCCACCTGCACTGAACTGTGGGTGAGATTTTTAGCGGGTTCTCGGCAGTCGCGGGGTTGAGGGCATGACGGCAGCCAAGCTTCGATGTTGTTTGTGGACCCTTTTGGTGCCAAACTCCAATTTACACGTGTGCTAGAGTTGATGCCTTGCAAGCGCCAAGCCTAACAAACCAGTGAATGGTGTCGGACTTTGACCAATGATACGACTACCTCTAGTACTACGCTCCAGTATTACATCGATGTCGTCGACTTAAGAAGAAGTCATTCAGCCTCAATTGAAGATTGAAGCTAGCTTAGCCACCGCACTCACTGTTTCAAGCCTGTCCGGCCTATTGATGTTCTGTTTCACAAAAGAGCTTCCCGAATCCTCAACGTCTGTGCCTGCTCTCCTGTAGCTTTTCTACACGTCTTGGGCCAGGCGCAGTGTTTCAGATGAGGTGATGCCATTTGTGAAATCAGATCAAGACCAAACCTATCGCACCGCTTGGACTCGGTCCATGGTTGGACGAACAAGGGCCCAAGTTCTTCAACGTCCACATATCGATGTCCAGTCTCGCTTGCTTGGGTAGGATTGTCATGGCGATTTGTGCATCCAGATCATGCAAAGCAATTGATGACAACTTTCTGAACGGTCATCCTGAAGATGTAAAGCATGGCATCATTAACAATGAGATGGCCGAATTGACAATTGTTGGAGTTGCCAAGTTGTAGGGCAACAGGTTGAAGGCTCGTTGGGTAACTACGTGAGGGTTGATCTCCAGTACAAATTACTTACCTCTAGATGCCCAACCAGTGCTGATACTTTCACTGTATAGTACAGCCAATACGTAGTAAATACCCGTGAAGATGCTTGCGCAATGATACTCATAAAGTGAAGCGATAGATGGACATAATGTCTAATTCTGCAACCCTACACCGCTCCCATGACCCTTGAAGTCCACAGGACAACATATCGGTATCCATAAGGTATGTCAGAATTGACGATGCGATGCGATGTGCTAGGGAAGACAGGTACCTTATGTATGTCTCTGGCCTACCGATACTGTGTGCTGTGCATAAGTACGTAGGTAAGGTAAGGTACGTACCAGTCTGAAAACTACCGGGGTAGCATTCAGCCCGAAGGAGGCTGAGCCATTGGTCCCAAACACACCGTTTAGTATGTCGCATCCATTCCGAGTACCGAATGCGCCACTGCCCCTGGCCACGTCAATCGAAATGCGCAACAGATTTTCGCCGCAATTCCCTTTTCATACACTACAGACTACATACCTCAACCTACTAAAACATGAGCATATCCATTTTTCTCTTTCTTTTTTGTGGTTAGCGCACCTATCGGCCATTGCGGGCGGCTACTGGGTGCCTGAGGCTCTGTAGCGGCCTCCCCGATCAACGACGTCGGTCGGTTGACGTCTTGGCCATCAGATGGCGACCAGCACAACCATCAACTCACTTGAAGCGATTCCCATCAACACTGTCACATATGGATGGAAAGACAGCTTGAGGCGGCATTTCTTGCTACCCAGGCACATCGGCTAGACCGTTTAGGCATAGCGGCTAATTCTTCGCAGACAGGCGGTTTATCCCTAGATATTCCATGAGTGGGATAACAGGTCCTTACACTAGGTAAAGAGCCTTGCTGGACCTGCTGAAAGGCATTCTACCGTGTACACTGTCGAGTGTTAGATAAAGCAAACATCGAAAAGTTGACGAAATGCAGAACACAACCTATCCAATTGGCTGAAAAATACCTCCAACCTAAGTCCCTGACCTACTAACCGTTACCGTTGAGGTATCATAGAGAAGCGGTAGTTGCCGCACCGGGTACCTAGTCCCACCCCGACTCCACCCGGACATAACAGTCAGGGCATCCAGGCACTAACGTCGGTTAGCTCCAGGTCCAACGCCTGGGCAACGACTGACGACAACAAACAACAACAGCAACAACAACAACAACAACAATCTTCAGCGCAGAACCCTCTTCAGCTGAACTGCACCGCAACAATGACAGCTCAATAACGCTGATTTGTCAATGCAATAACGGAAAAAGGTCTTTGTTGCCTTGGATCGTCTTTATCACTTTTCTTCTTCCGCAACGTGGACTGCCATATCGTAAATCCCTCCTATGTTGATTTTCCTCGTTCTCCATTCCGCCCACAGTCCAGGACCATCATGATGGATTGATGGCGCTGGGTACGTTAACCACACCGGGGTTGCGGAACACGTCGCATACCGAGTCATGCAAGAGAGTTGCAAAATAGAGCAAGGCATCTTTCCACATCATTCCAAAAGAATGATCCCAGGCCTCCAAGGCTCTCGGAGATCTTGCGTATAATCCCCCTTTGACCTACCTTGGGCTGTCCTGGGCGTCTGACTTCCAACTGTCACTTTAAAAACTATGATATCTGCCAACCTCTCTGACTAGGAAGTCTGACGATTCGCTTACTTTATTTCCTCTTTACCTCCCGGCTGTGGTTACCGAAGTTCAAAGATCGAAGAGCTTCCTGAACTCGAAGATAGGTAAACACCATTCCATGGTCACTAATTGCTAATTGAGGGCAGCTACCTACACATGTCAGTTTAAAAACATACCTACCCCTCAATATCTCGACTATCCATCTTCTACTTCCCAGCGTCGAAGGAGCCATTCGCGAACCTCCAGACTCCGACCAGCACAATCGATTCAGCTTCTCACACAAATAGCAGGCCACGCGCACCTTTGCCTCTGGAAGCTCACCGAGAGAAAAGAAAATGATTACATCGATACTACCAGCACTACGATGAGCCAACGTCGTTCCCAGCCACAATAGCTAACATAACGGGCCGACCAACAGCACCTATGCAATGTCAGCTGCCAAGTACACAAAGGCAGTGTAGGGAACAAGTCAAATCTCCCAAATCTAAATCCAAGAAAATCCACCTCTGAAAGGGGGCAAATCTGCCTTTGAAAAGTAGTTTGCAAACCCAAATCTGATGTGTCCGGGATTGATTTTGCAAGCTAATCTGACAGATTTAGCAAAATTATCCAGATCGAGGGTAGAGGGGAGGGGGAGAGGAGGGGCTGCCCCATAATTTTGGGCATATAGAGCACCTAAAGTATAGCAGTTATAGGGGGCCGGGCTCGGAACAACTCGGGTATAACCTGGGGATTTGAGTGCTCAAACAAATCCAATTTTCCCACATTTCAAGTAAATCCGTAAATTTATCCTCAAATTGAATCCAAATCTGACCTCAGATTTGATTTACTTGATTTGTTCCCTACCCTGCACAAGGGCAGCCCCAATGTGGCTGCTGCAAGCTATCCTGCCAAGCTTCGAAACACGAATGTCATCTGCTAATTGGTCAGTCTTATGTGATGGCTTTTCTCTCACCACTTGCTAGGAGCTCTCTATCTGCTGGGACGTCAGCCCCATCGGTACACGGCGGTGACGACGCTGAGTTGAGGGTAGAGTCGCGTAACGGGAAGTGATCGACAACCGCGGAGTAGGGAATTTGGATGGAACCCTCGATTCATTAAGTGAATGAGAAGCTATCCTACAACTGAGCTATAGTCTGCAAGCCTCAGTGAGTAGCTTTAGTGCACTGTTTCCTCCCGTCAGTATATCAAAGTGCGACTGTGCAGTTTAATTGAGGTCGGTGCGACCGTGAAGCTAGCAAACAATACAGATGACTGATTTTGCTACAATTCGACATCTCTATGTAGCTATTTCGATAGTACGATCAACAAAGAGTGACATGGTATTTAAGTGAAAAAGCGAATTGACATTCGGGAGATATCGAGAGCAATGAGGTTACTTGTCAGGTCTACAGAATTGACCGTCTGACTACTGTAGCGGGCGGGCCACTATAGCTGAGTTCTTCCATGAACCGGCAAAGCAGGGACACAGCCCGCCGTACAGCAGAGTGGGTCAGTTCGAGAAGGTGAACCCAGTACCTTAGGTTGAACGCTCCGTCTTCGCTTAAACTTCCGCCGGCGCCCCGCAGTATAGGCTTTGTGCTGTTAGTAGTCGGTACTGGACAGGATTGCCATCGTAATAGAAAGGACGGGAATCTTGGATCTGCAGCTGACAGACCGGCAGCTTCCACTAAAAAAGTTGAGGGGGGTATAACTCTAGTGTAGGGTAAAATGTGAGGAAGGTGTACTTTGTCCGGATTGGATGGTGTAATCCGTGATTGGGGTCGCTGCACTAGAGGACTAGAGGTAGGTTCGGTGGTTGGCAGCCCCGATGGACGTGACGAAAATAAAGTGGATATCGGAAGTTGTACATCCATCTTGGACTCGTGGGCACAAGAAGCGTGATAATTGTGCTAAACTAAAGGATAAAAAGGGAAAAGAACTATGGAGGGTTAAAATACATAGTGGTAGCGCCCTAATAGGCCCCACATATAACTAAACAATTCGGGCATGCCAGTAATAGCAATCTGGGCACTCTACACCACAACAATCCATCGTACGATAGCAGGGTTTGGATCTGCCACCCCCGCGTCCAGGGTTCGCATGTGTGGGCCTAGCGCGGTTTCTGCGACCCGGACGGGATGACAGCGGCCATATAAGAGGGTGGAAGATCGAGCGAACATACAATAGTAGATATAGTATCGCCCCCTGATTTTGCATGTAATCCTGCACCAGGAAACTTATGCACTAAATGGCAGATATGCAGTGTCTAGAATAGCGCTAGGCCTAAATAGGCAGCTAGTTAGAGGCCGAAACGCTAAAACCCGACCCTGTACTACAGATTTCTCTACTCAAGACCGAGCTTGTAAGTGTATATACACCAAAAATTGTCCGAGATCAGTATGCAGTATGCAGTTATGCAGTTGTAGCTGGAGATTAATTCTGCCAGCCAAATCTTATGCAGTAACTAGCGTATATGCAGTTCCTAGAGGATGCAGTTGCAGGGGATTCTACTGTAGTGGCTTTACTGCGCGCCCACACACGCCTTAACCCTGATGTCCCCACGTCATCATCACAGCGGCCAATCACCAACGTCGATAGCATTTCAACTTTCCCATCACCACGTCGATTGTCCGCGTTTCGTTCAAGAAAAGTGCTTTTTACTCACCCCTCACAAGCAGTTCTAACTTTGTCCACAAGGCCTCAGAGTACCTTATGATCTGGTTTGGCCTCTTCAGGGAGTAATGTCTTTAGAAGAGGTTAGAGGTATAAACGGAGGTAAAGCCCATCATGGTCCCTCCACTTTGTTCCCACTCTTCAGTCCCAACCTTTCGCTATACTCAGACATTCCTTGACCATTGAGCGACCTCCGACGCAATGGACTTCTTTGATCATCTTCAAGGATTTTGCCCAGTTCATTTTCTTGTCAATGCCAATGACATGACCTTCTCTAACAACAAGGTTGATCAAGCTCAATGGGGCTGTCCTTGCCCAGAGGTACCCAGTTTCTCCTTGCCTGTCCAGGTACCTTCTCATATCTCTCCTCCATATTCAGATCTATCCCAAGGTTGATCTGACGTATACTGGCGACTCATGACGTGGATGCCCATGCTAACCCTCTTGCTTGTCCCCAAGTACTCCGGCTATGGTAATGGCGCCCTCAACAACGCTGGCGGTTTGGTCCTCGCTGGGCCTTCCGCTGAAAACAACATGGTTGTTGCTGAACATTGCCTCGTCCAAGCTCCCGGGGTCATTCCCGCCAACCTCCACTACCCAGATCGTAACGAGTCCTTGGGTTCAGCCTCTGACGAGCCAGCCGCATCCCAAGCTCACAACTCCAAGCTCTTCACCTGCGACCACTGTGGATCCATCTCCGCGAAGACGTCGCGAGACTTCAAGCGCCACTTGCAGACTGAAAAACATCGCAAGAATGCCAGCAGAAGCGGTCCAGGAGAGTTTCAGGTGGAGTGGTCACCGAACCGTGGCACTGAATTTCGCTGCCCAGTCCCACCCTGCAACAAGACATTCCCGCGCAAGGATAACCTGTGGAGGCACATTGCTAAGATGCATAGGATCTCGGATGAAGATGAGTGATGAAGCGTTGTAAGGGTTCAAGGAGTAGAGATGGAGGGATATGCTTTCCTATTAGCGAGGTACTTATAGGAGGGATAGTGACAGCATGATTGACTCATATGTAGAGGGTAAAGAGGAGCATAAGCAATTGGACGAATATAATGATTCTTAATCCTATTCAAAGCACCCAAAGCTTCCTGACGCTTATCGTGTTGGTTAGTGGTCTTTTGTAGAGGTAGAAGCCAGCCAGGTGGGTCTTGCGCTAACAAGAATGATGGGCGCTTTCATGTCTCACGAAACTTCTATGATGATGCCAAAACATCGCTCCGTGATGCCAAGGACTTGACGTTCTGAGATTTCTTCGACTTAACCCTTCTTCAAGTATTTGAGTAATTGAGCCGAGTCTAATGAGGCGTGTTCGAAGTGAGTTTGGAGAGCGAGGAGTCTTTGCTTTCAACGCCAAGACCATTGTGGAACTCGCTGTTGCACTAACAATTCCTTTGTCAGCATGGAACCAACGGCAAAATTGTGATAGTGGACTCGGAAGCTCGCAAACCTGAGGTATGGAGTTAAGGTATGTGCCGTAATTTTAGAAGCGATGATGAATGCCGGCCGGGGGTTACTCTCTCTTCTTTTCTCGCCTGCCCACCTGGCTGGTAATGACAGGAGTTCTTCAAGAAACCCCTAAAACCGAAACCCGCTGGGCTGTGCAGAAAAATGTCGACAACGTAATTTCCGCGTCGGCAGCGCGATCGACCGGTCGTCAATCGGCCGGGCCATACCGCTTTCACTCCTCGATGGGGGACGGTCGTGCGAATAACCTCAAGACGGACGGGTGTGCGCGACACGGGATTGAGAGTTCGTGAAGGGTCACCCAAGGCTCGGTGCGGATACTTTGTGATTGTGGTCGGTAACGAGTGGTCCGAGTGTATGGTTCATTGAATTGGAATGGAAAAAAAGACTTCAGTCTCCAGTGACGCAGGTACAGACACGTGGGGAGCCGCCCGGGATGGAAGGTCAATGAAAATCAGGGGGGCGGGGAAGAAGTCTGGATGTTTTGGTGCTGATGAGCACAATTAGACAAAGGCCCGTGCTCACTTCAAGTTCTGTGTTCGGGTGATCGTGATTCCCTTTGTGCACATCATGACCCAGCGCCACCCTGGGATGCCGTGCTCGTCGCTATCGTTTCATCAAGGGGCGGTCATTTCCCCATGTCTCGCCATTGCTTTTTTTTCTTCCTTCTGACAAGTAACGGTCTTGTCTTGCATTCTTCAATCGCGAGACATTTTCTGGAAGAAAAGCGTCGATTGATGGCAAGACAATCCGGTTTGAGTCGGCGGGCAATTTCACCGCTTCGGTCCGTTACTTAGTACTCCCGTCGTTGTGCGACCGAAGGTTAGATGCTACTAGTACCTACACTAATTTCTCATAATCCACTCACAGGTAGCGGCACAGGTTGAGATACATAGGTAGGTAGGCCGGACAACTGAACTGCTGCTTCGAGGCCGCCGCCGCGCGCATCCCCCTCTTCTGGCACTCTTGATCGTCCACATCATTAGCTCCTCGCTTGTGGCTTGGACGGTTCAGCGTTGCAGAATTTTTTTTAGCCGATATCCGAAGAAGACGCGCACCACATCGGAATCATGGAAGCGACAATGACCTTGTTCACTTTTGTCCTCTCGAAACCATACCTAGTGTGTGAATGCGGCGATAAAGTACGTGGCCCAGGCTCATACCAAGAACTAATCGAGCATAAACCCAAAACGGCATCTCAAACCCGGGACTAGTGTATGATGAATGGATCCGTGCTTTGTGTTTTGTTTTTGCAGGAAAAAACAGGACAGGATGGCCCTGTTGTGTCAGCAGGAACTGAGGGCAACTGATCCATGCTCACTTTCTCGCCTTTTAATTAATCGTGGGTCTGGATGCTTCTTGTGCCTGGCGCTAGGGTCTATTGGCCAATGGCAGCGACAAAGCGAGAAGAAAAGAGGAGCCTCTTTACCACTCTCAGCATGGAAGGCGGGGATCCAGAACAGCAGAGGGTCCATTCCCGGTCCCGAAGGGCAGTGTGCGAGTGGAGGACTGCTGCTGTGGGTGTGCTGTGGGCAACCACGACAGGGGGTGTAGTGGCACCGTGAGACCCCGGTGCCGTCGTAACGAACCATTTCTTCCATCTTTTTCCTTCTTCAACTGCTTCTTCCCCTCTCCCGCTCTCCCCTCTCCTCTCGAATGGTTCACCTGCTTCTCCCCAACCTCCACCAACCACCGCGCGGCTCTCTTTAATCGACTGTAACGTCAGCCAGCAGGCCCGATAAGTCGACCCTACACTCATTCTCTACAACTACCAGGGCCATCCCACACACTCTCTCTATCCAAATCCCCTCACCACCAGTCTGTCATTGAAACAAGCCTGAGTCTCCGGTCATTCCGCGCCCCAGCAATATACCCACTCTTTCATCTCGGAACTCAGTATCCGCGACGTCACCAATCTTTTACCATCTCTCCCGATCCCAAAAACCACTTCACTCTTTGCACGCGACGACAACGCCGACGCTTTCACTTGCGCAATCGATCAATTGATTGCTACTCTCGTCCGCGACACGAAAACCAACACTCTTCCAACTCACAACACCATCAGAAATCCATCACAATGGGTCTCAGTCTCTTCGACCGCATCCAAGCCAAGATCGAGCTGTTCCGTCTTGAACAGCGCTACACCCGCCGCCGTCATCGTCGCTCCACCTTTGTCTCCAACGCTACCTACGTTGATGGCGAATACGTCTACAACACCCCCAACACCACTGGTTCCTCGACCAAGTCGAGCGCGACCAACGCCACACGAGAAATGCCCTTCTCCCCCGACGTCGGCGTCAGCTCCCCCAAAGAAGAAACACCCGCCAGGAAGGTCTCCAACAGGTGGTCTACCGTGCCCGGATTTGGCAGCAGCTCGACACCCTCGAAGCAGCCTAGCATGGAGAGCGTATCGCCCGAGCAGCCAAACTTTGAGAGTCGGTACCAGCAGAACTCGTGGGGAAGGAGCTCGAAGCGCGTCAACTTCAACGAGGCCGATCGGTAGAAGCGCTTCGCTCGTTGGCTTGTTGCTGTGTAGGCAGATCACCGCTGTTCGTACTTGACAAGGAGCGACATGATCAGACACGCACACACAACTTTTGGGCAGGACATGGCCATTTCGGAAACGGATATGTCGCCTGTCTTCCCATTTGTATATTTTTGATGCCCACATGACGCTCAATCACGGCACGACCTTCGATATCGGAACCGATCGCGCTTTGGCAATCCAGTACATGTTCCACTTGGGCCCCGGATGCACGACACGCCGATTATCGACTTGATGACGACAAATTCTTACCTCCTTTCTTCTTTTTTTTTCTTGATTACCGCGCCAGTTCGATCATAGTGGGAGTTGAGCAATCACGACTGATCCACAAGGCATACTATCCATCGGTGTGGCCTCCGGCTCTTGATGGATACGAACCAGCATTTGTTTTACTTCTTGTCTTGGTAGGCGCAGATGCATTGTATGCTTTCGGCATCATACATGGTCTGCTGCCTTTGATGGAGGCGCGAAGAGGGCCATTTGTAGATGTGCCTGCGTCTCCAGCGGAAGTGCCTCTGGCCTCCAATTAGGTTTGGGGTAGGAACTGTGCCCTGCATGCATGCATGTCACCATGCACTGGAGCGTGCTTGGACAGGCCAGTTTTGAGGAGGTGGTAAGGAACAGCCACAAGGTCGGCGTCCACCTCCATGGGGGAAAAGTATTGGAAGACAACAAAGCGGAGGAAGGGCGGACCAGACGCCGCTGGACAACGTTGCCCCCATGTTACTAACGCCAACTGGAAGAATGCGTTAGGCTATGTATTACGTTCTTTTAATTAGATCGGGGGACATAGAGATGGCAATGACAAGACATTATATCTGCATCAAAGAACAATGCGACACTGTGCTTGACGCTTTGCTGCGTACCGGGTGTTTCCGCTGCGATGCGGCTCTTTGTGCATTGGCTGGGAATTACCTTGGTTTTGCTGTCTCACTCCAGTCTTCCAGAACTCCAGCCTTGTCTTCTTTGCTTGTTGTGACGACAAATCATGGTCGCAACATGGACATCAGGATATGAAAACACGGAGTAAAAAAAAAATCGGATAGGGAAAAAAAAAAAAAAGGGACAAGAGGCCACATGCATGCCCCGGACAAACAAACGCTTCGGTCTGCTGAAGTTGTTGGATTAGGACGACGAAAAGGTGTTGATTCTGCCCTGGTAGTAGGAACGGGTCAGAAGGGGAAAAAGCAGGGCAGCCTAGAGGTACACTAGTAAATACCAGGTACCCAGGACGGGAGTGCCAGTGACGGAACGGAAGCGCCAAGAGGCACGATCAACAGAACGAACGAACGGAAGTCAAGCGAGCCGGAGGCCATGCGCTGGAAATCTCATGGCAAATACACAGAGGACCCAGCCAGGTACAGGGCACCACTGCATGTACGTGACCTCCTCCAACCCTGTGACTAACATCCAGTACACTACACTAAAGAAACTAGTAGGAATCCAGGGGATAACGAGGGGAGGCTTGTCCACTGGGCTGCCCGCCAGGGTCCCGTCCGTCCCCTGTCTCAGCCCGATGCTGTTCTCCCATTTCCTTCAATTGCGACTCCACCCAGAGTGAGGCTGAAGGTCCGGGTGCTCCAATGCGTTTCGCAAAACGGAACTTTGTAGGCAGTTACACCGAACACTCAGGCTGTGCCTGCGTTCCACTTGCTTTAGCCAGGCACCGGCTGGCCGGCTCTGTCTGCCTCTGGTGTGGTTGTCCTTGGGTGGGATTGGGATGAGAGAAAAACGAAAACAAAGGTCAATAGCGCAATAAGGTGTTAATGAGCTTTCATTGCTCCTTCTAGATCTTTTTGATGTTTGGAGAATCTGAGGAGTTTAGTTTTGCTTGGCTCAGGGGGAGGAAACCCGGTTTGCACTGGCTACACCTCTGTCAGCATCTATTTTATTAGCGTAGTACCGCTACCTCACAGAATTTGACTGGTTGGCGGCGGGCATACCGATTAACTCTTGTAGGGAAAATAGAGTTATCGCCACTTGCAAATTCACCGCGCTAACAGAGTAAATGACTGAAAAGGTGTAATCCATCCATACCGAAAATGATTCATGCCACCGTTCGCTGTACCTGGTACGTATCGCCTGAAACGCCCTAGATGGTGCTGGACCTAGCGTCCTTGACCGCCTCAGCCGACGGCGCAGCGAGGGACAGCTGTATCAAGATGGTACCTCTACCTAAAAATGAAACAAGCTTTTCAAAAAGTTTACTATACTAGAGGTATATTAATACCTAGGTATGTACAGTTATTACCCGTGGAGATAGGGGGGGTGCCTGTCTGACCCACGTCATCCCTAGACAGGCGCCCTAAGTGGCTCGCCCACTAGTCAGACGGTCGATTTTGTAGACCTGACGAGTATCTCCACGGGTACCGATAATCACCTATGTAACGCCGTTGGATCACCAGCATTAGCCCGAGCAAGAATGGAGACCGCGGTGGAAGGGACCGACAAATGACAGCCGGGGCAAACGTGATAACCAACAACCATGACGTTGAAACCCCATCCGTCCAGGCACAACACTAGTTGCACTTGTCGTTGAACTTTTCTTTGGAAGTTCTTATTGATTTGTCAATTCGGGAACCTTTACCTCCACTGCAAACGTACGGATATTCTAGTACCTACCTAAATAGCAAGCTGACGGAATGACTGCGGTGCGATACAGCGCAGTGCGTGTAGATACCCTCTGGGTTTGAGTCGCAGTGTAGGGGTACTATGATCATGATGTTGGACGGCGCGAAGCGAGTGTTTAGTGCAGACGTCGAATACCTAAAGACCGAAGGAAGTTGAAGTTGCATAGGTACCTACCTACCTAGGTAGTACCTCTATTGATTCCACGGGCGGGCGCAATCAGAGCGATGCCCCTGCCTCTGTACGTAGTGTCAAAGGCAATTGGGGAGGATCCATCCAACTGCCCGGGGTGGCCGGGGGATTTGCTGCCGTGAAAATGCCCTGATACCCCACCCGTGCTCACCCGGGCGTACCTGCTAGTAGGTACTCTCCACTGTTGGATGACCATCCCCACCCGTACCACCGTTCCGCCCGCGCAATTCAATTTCATCACACAGTCGCAGGTCCAGACGGACCGTTCCTCACTGCTATCTATGATTATCCGACGATAGAACGACATCCATCGATGTGTTAGGAAGAATGTCTACTACACCCCTTATTAGATTCTGGCCTCTCTTTTTCTCCCCCTAGTCAGACAAAAGATGGCCTTCTATAAAGGACAAGCTTCTAAGTCCTGCTTGCACGTCGTCCAAACACCATCAAGAAGCTCACTACCTAGAAACTTAACAGCACACATCCCCGCTAAAGAGCGGATCCGATACCCAATTTCACTTTATTCCTACCTACACTCAGCTGTTTGGATAAGCCATCATGGATTACAACCACTTCGATTTGCATCATCCTTTACCCGTCACAGACAATGACATCTCCAATGTCGACAACCCTCTTTTGGGCTTTGCCGACGATGGATATCACAGTAGCGAAGCATTATCCAACGACCTTGGACAGTCACACGAATCTACCAACCAAGAGCTCGATATCACTAGCTCTGTACGTTCATTGGTCTTTCCATTTTCAAACAACTTACCAAGGTACCCACGTGCATGTTGACCGCTGCTAACACATCCAGCGTAGTACCCTATCGCCAATTCTTACACGTATATGGACTCTCCACCGTTCGTAGTGGAAGGCTTATCTGGTTATAACTGGTCTCAGCACTTCCCTCCCACTACCGGCCACTTCCAGGGCCTTCAGGACGAGGGAGTTATGCAATCTTTTGAGGGTGTGGATGGAAACATCATCCCCGTCCTTAACACTGCCGCCCATTACGACATGCCGTCTCAGCCTTCGCCTCCGGCCCCTCTTCATACCGTCAACTCTATGTCCCTAGGGCCTTACACCATCCAGGACCTGGAACCATCTTCTATTGACCCCGACAGCATGCCTTCCTCATCCCGCGCATCCCTTACCCCATCTCCACCAGACAATGAAGGTCGCAGCCCCAACACCCGTGGGACTGCTCGCTATCACTGCACCGACTGTGGTACCTCTTCCCAGACAAAACGGGACCACGAGCGCCATCTCACAACCAAGAAACATCAGAAGAAGACCAGCGTCGGCAGCGGGAGCGGGAGCGGAAGTGGTGCCGCCGTCCCGGGATTCCACTGCCTGGCGCAGGGTTGCGAATACTCTCGTGAAGGCGGGAAGACTTTTACTCGCGATGACAACTTGTGGAGGCATATGAAGACTGCGCATCCCATCAGGTCGACAGCGTGAGGAGCGAAAGAGTTCTACGATGCCTAGATACAGGTATATGGGCATTGTGGGGAATTTGGATGGTTCCTTTCCATTGTTTAATCACCATACAATTGGTTTGTAATGTCTTTTATACTGTCTTTTTCTACGCTGTATGCTCTTATGTTGTCTTTACTTATCCCCCCTCCCGGTTGTCATTCTCTCCTCTCTTGCCTGCACCTTTTTCAGCTACCTGTATCCGTATTTCTTTTGTTAAGTGATCAGACGATATCATTACGCACATGTTGTTACGAGAATTGGAAATTGTACTTAGAGCGTTGGTTAATACTTTCCCTGTCTGCTCTACCTATATCACGGAACATTAAATGCATCCCACAATTGACATTACCGTACCTATCAGCGCGGGGTCGCTTAGATGGTGCACTAACAGGCGGCCACTATCTCATTGCTGATTCAGGGGCGAGCCACGATAGGCGCTTACCGCCAAGCCTGGAGAGCCAGTTCTTACCTACCTAAACTCAAAAACTATCATTTTCGATATTGGGGGATAGACAGCTGTGCACACCCCGCCACCCCGACCGGACAACCGACCTTTGACATTTTGGATCTTTGGAACTGAACGAAACGAACAAGACCTTCGGATGTAGACCGCGCGCTGCAGCGATCACCCGGCTCCGTTCGCGATCGACTCTGTATGGTGAAAACCCGCTCTCTTTGGAAGGGGTGCGAGTCTGGCCAGCCCCAGAGCTGAGATCCGAAACGATGCATCTAGCTGGATAAGGAAGGTGGTAAAATGGCGATCAACACATGGGTAATTAGCGGCGGCCTCAACACCAGAGTTGGTTCGCAACAGACAACGGCGGACGCAACCACAACGATGAACCTTGAAGGCCCGGAACAAATGGGTTGGGTATGTCTTCTTTTCTTTCTTTCTTTTTTCTATAAACAAAAACCGCTTCAATGGTCTTTGTAACTGTGTTTACTTCCTCCTCTTCTCTTGAGATCCGAATGTTCTTGCAGACCTCCTGTGTTTCGGATCGATACAACCCTGTGAAGCACCCGGCTAGTCCATAGGGTAGACCGCAAGGCAGATTTCGTTTCCAACATCAGTGTTGACGGCAGCCGCTCCATCCGCAACGAAGGCCGGGTCTCGCCGAAGACATGGAACCGCGATCATCAGCGTCACCTCGAGAGAAATCTGTCTGGGGCGTAAGGCAACAGAGCAAGGGTCGCAATGACAAGGAAAGCCTGCGAACCGCGAGCAGCAACCAGTCCTTCTAAAACACACCGACTGTGACTGTACTGTACAGGCGCCGCCGTTGCTGCGAAACAATCAGGCACCTAACACCATTGATTGGTCAATTGTATATCCCACTTTTCCTTTAGTGTAATTAGGCAAGGACAGACGCTTGACATTTTGGGTCCACTATGAAATACGCTAGCTAAGCACACTAGTGGAAACATCTTGAAAATACATAGTAGCATAGAACTGCAGCAGCACACTACATACGCCCTCTCCCACATACACCCCGAATATCAACGTTGTGTGCTATCTGATGTGGTTCCGTCTTGTCAATCAAGCTTTCTCGGGCAGTCGTGTTACAATGAATATTTACAATCCGAATCCGAGCAGTGGAGTCCTTGGATGGGTTGTAGCAGTACCTACCTACCTACCATACACCACTTGTGGTCACATTCATAACTGCTTAACATGATGGAGCATTATTTCCCTCGCACAGTCCAAGCGAGAAGTGATGACTTTCGGGATAGTGTGGTCTTTTGGTCAGGAATAAAAAGTGTAGAATTCCCAGCGGAATATACCCAAGGTACCTAAGGTAGGTAGCCTTTCATCCACCTGTAAAATGGAAGATGGATATGACAGGCTAGGCGTGCACTATGGCCAGGTCCACCAAACTATCCGATAAGAGATAGACGTAATTCTGCTTGCGAGGCAGAATACGAAGTGCACATTTGGTGTATAGGCATGTCAACTACCACCCCGTGACAACGGAGGTATGTAGCGGGATGCGAGCTGGGTATCGGAGATTATCGAATGCTACCTGCGTAGCAGGGGCAAGAATTGCCCTCTGGGGGAGGGGTGCGGGTACTACACAGTATTCCGTTAACGCTGCAAGGAGTTCAATCTAATGCCAAGTCCAAGTTTAGCAAATCTTTGGCTTCATCATATCCACTTTCTACATCTAGGAGAAGTCGGGGGGAAAACTGAATCGACTAATTTACCTTGAGGAGGCGCTGGCTCCTGTAGCGCTACTTAGCTGCATCAGAAAGTCACCAAGTACTGCAGGTTCTTCAAAGTTTGGCTTAGTACAACAGTATGAACTATTTACACCGTTAATAAAGGGATGATCATATAGGTACACTAGACAGGTACCAGCCAACGGTTCTGCACGGCTCGCACCGAGAGCTCTGACGCGGCAGATCAGGTCCACTGCATCCCGCCATTGCACGTCCCGTCCAGTCACAAAGCCCGATCCATATCTCCGCACATGGCACTCCCTTGTACCTCGGTACCCGACACCGAAAAAGGGGGACCCAACAGGAACATGGACACCCAGACATCAGGGGGGAACGGATCTTGTACCGAGTCGGCAATGCGGTAGGGATTGCCGACGGGATTTGCTTTGCTTGTGCAGCCGGCCGATGCAGGAACAGACAATTCCCAGCAACTCCTAGTGGCATGCATCATCACCTACCTCTGCTTCTTGATCTTGTGAACCTGGCGGATGTGTCGCCAAAGGTTGTCCTCTCGAGAAAACATCATCTCTCCTGTCGCAGCACTAGCACTATACTTGCAATCCGGAACGGGACAGAGGAAACCAATCGGCCTTTTATTCATGCCCTCAAGGCCGAGTTTTACATTGTTTCGATGTTTGCGAGTTGCAAGGTGTCGGGTGTAGTCGCGCTTGGTGTTGGTCGAGAAGGAGCAAAGTTGGCAGGCGAAGCCGATGGTCAGAAACGCCTGCCGGATGGTGGAATTCCGCGCTTGGGCGATTCCCTTGAACGGTTTGGATTTTCGGGGGATTAGTTCCTGGCAAGTGCGGGGAGTTCAGGGGGTAGCCCGGCCCGGCTGCTTGTGGTGGAGTCTTGAGCACTAGAACGTTGACACGTCATGTGAGAAGGAGTCAATGTATTCCATGCCGCTCGAGACCAGAGCCCTGTGAATTACCTGACTGTTTTCTCCTTGCGCTTGTTTCGGACCGACATCACACCGGTGTCCGAGACTATTTTTATATGTGAATGGACACTTAGACTGAGGCCATCTCCAATTGAGCCAGGTCATCTCCAGCCTCACTGATGTTGGCCAAAGATTTCAGACTGATGAGTTGGTGCAAGTGAGCCTCGATGCATCGTGCGTATACTAGAAAGCATTTGGAAACAGCCGGAGCCCATCTGATCATTACCTCTACTACCCTACCAAAACCATTTACCCAATGCGGCCAATTCACAGTCATCGCTGGGTCACATTGATAGCAAATTGACCCGTATAAGCAGTAGAAGTGCCTACTAGTACTCGACCCGTTATCTTCTGGAACCTCGTGTAGGTCGACTGGAGTGTAGGTAACCCCAAACCAACTGATTATCCACGCATTCATGTGCGATCAAGTCAAATGTAACGCCCCCAAAAATGCAATGAGGCTGAACGCACACACCGTCATTTCCCTGTCGATCCAAGGTTTGACATCTGTCGTCGAGGAAACAAACGTCGCACCAACGCAACCAGATCGTTGTTGATGTCGGTCCATGATCTATGGCGGAGGCGAGCCATGCTGACAGAGATTGCAACACGTTCCGATGAGCAACGTAAGTCACGCCGTCGCATGGAACAAAAAGTCTGCCGGCGCAGGCAGGGCCGGCGCCTCGCTACGGACTGGCCGACTGGCGCTAATCACATCGTGAGAGTACATGTCCCTGAGTACCTAGGTAGGCAACTGAATCTAGCCGAGACGCCTACCTCCTTCCACTGTTTGTCAGCCGTACTACGTAATGTCATTTTCGTCTTCTTCATAACCTCAAGGCTTGTTGTCTACACGCCGGAGAACCCCTGGTTGGCCTACGACATGCGCCTCCCCGACCCTCTCCGCACCGGCGCGTTGCTGTTGCATGCCAGACTCAGGGGTACACTCCTTCCCGAACTGGAGACTTCTGGTTCGGGCCATGACTCGGTCCGACACTGGCACGACCGTCGCCTCTTATTTCTTCGTCGTACACTCCATAGCCCTGAGCAGGAAGAGGTCTGTTTCGGCAGCCGGCCGTTGATGGCAGGAGAGGCACATGCATTTGTTCTTGCGATGGTTGAGTGTTGCGAATCGATATGTTGATTGGCACCATGTTACGCTGGCAGAAAAGGGACGGTTTGAGTCGTCGAAATATGGAATTGTCTGTGTTCATTGTCTCTATCCTCCTCTTTCTCCCTATGCGCGTCTCCGTTTCCGCAGCTTCGAATACTCCCTTTCTGTTCCATCTCTTCCCTTGGTTCACGGTATTTCTCGTATATTATTCATGGACGAAATCGCGTAGGAAGCGACGAAGGGAATTCGAAGCGGGTGTCGAGGACGTCGATGGCATCGAGAGGTTCACATCCTCGATTATTACGTACTTGTCGTCATAATGTTCCTCGATTATCGCTTGCCGTCATGATCGCGGCTGTTGTTGGTCCCAAGGCTCTCCACTTGGGCGGTCGCGCGGCTCAGTTCTGTCGATGTCGGGATTTTGGTGGTGATTGCTGGGAGCAGCCCGACGGTGATTAACTCTCGATTATGCAAGCCTTCGTCAAGCCTCCTTGATCGAGCCATCGTGTTGGAGTCAATAGAAGATGGTCAAGACGTGAGCATTTGCTGCCCTTTTCTGGCACAAGAGTTGGAGAAAAGGACAAGTGGAAAGAAATCTGATGGAAGCTGGTGCATGCAAGAATTCATTTCATTTCGTTAGGCGCCCAACGGCCTGATGCAACGTGTGATCCTGTTTCCTTAGATGTGGCGGTGCGTAAGTCCATGCAAGAATAATGTTACTAACAGGCTCTAGCAGAGTCTTGCGCTTAAGGCAGGCTGAAAAGGATCAGAGAAGATATGCTGGAATGTCAGCGCGCGATTGGTGTGGCTGTTGTGAAAGGTGTGGGTTAGTGGCTTTTCGAGTCCTACTGCACTCGCTCAGCTTGACCCGACTTCCATCCCCAGCACAACACTAGCGATACCTTTCATCATCATGCAATTCTCTTCATCTGATCCATCTTAAACTATTATCTATGGCTTTCTTCTTCATCTTTTTGCTACATGTTACCTACCTACGATGTGTCGATGAATGGATGCATGACGGAGCTTGTTTGCCTCGAATCGTGTCGAGTCGCTAACTGCACGATGGCTTGCAGTGGTAATTGTTAGTGCATACGTCCTGGGGGGTCTGGGGGAAAAATCGAGGTGAGAAAACATGGCAATTCACCTCTGGTTTATTTACACCCCTTTCCTAATGAACCGACTCCCACTTCAGAAAGTTAGTCGCGAGGCATCTAGTGTATGTCAACCGAGAAAGTGCCGTCCATCAGCTCAATTACAATTGGAGGACGACGAGCCTCGCAAGGGGGGCTGTGCAAACAAACACTTACACTTCTGAATTTGGTTAGGCATGGCATTTCCGGATCTTTAGCCACACGGTAGAAGACGTCTTGGCGCCCAGCCTCCCATTGCAACACCAGGAAGGCAGGAACTCCTGGAAGAAAGGGAAAGCCGCATGACAACAGGAAAAAGAGCTCTTGGCTTGCTTGTGATACAATTCTCGGACTGATATTTGAAAGGTGACTGAGGTAGTCAATTCTGAGGTGATTCTACCTTCACATTTGCTCGCCAATGGCATTTTTCATTTCTTATGAGTTTTGGGCCTGTCACAATGGGACAACCCATTAAACAAACCCTCCCGACACCCGAACAGGTACTTGGAAGCAGCCACCGATGGCATTTTCGAGATGTTCCTGATTTTTGGACCACTCACTTGGTTTCAACTACAGCCGTATCTTCACACTCACTCTCGCTCGTGCAGCTGCCACACCCCTTTCCAATGAGCCCTTTCACTCACAAATACGATTCGAATGGCGTTTCTTGGCATTGTGCATGATGGTTAGGTAGTATTGGGTAGAGGTATGGGTTCTCAGCCAATGACGGACTTGAATTGCGAGCCGTTTCTGCGAAACCATTTCCCCGTTCTCCACCAGTTTGTGCCGCAGCTATACGTACTTTTAGACAGCCCTAAACCCAAAGGAGCCTCCCAGCTTTCATTACAGGAGCACGATTCTTTTTGATTCAAGAGCCACACCAGCAGACTCGGTCAGCTAAACTTTGGTGATGGCCTCTTTAGGTACATCTTCGAGTGGTTGTATCAGGTGCCTACCTATCTCTAGGAGATATGTTTGCGTTGCAGAACGCACTCCCAACAAAGTGTCTAGCGTAGGTATAAAGACAGAGCAGATTCCGGCGTGCAATGCCAGGACTCACTACCTCACTCCCTCATATGCGACATTAGCTGCTCCAGGAAACTACCAGCATCATTCCCTTATATAGCATTCTCACTCCATTACCTTCCATTACTACCACCCTAAGACGTCATTGGGCCCAGTATCTTCCACTTATCACAGTCATGACGGATATCCTCCCATATCGCCATGCGGATGGTGCACATGGGGACGACATGGTTTTATGGCCAGATGAGCAGGAAATTCAGCCCCTACCGGCCAACGTCAGTCTTTTGATGGAGACAACTGCTTGGTTTGTACGGCTTTCAAGTCTTTATTGTCGTATCTTGTCCCGGCTTCATATGGGTTTCCTTTATCCGAGCTTGGTGTTTCTCCATCAGTTACCCCTACATACCGTTTGTATCGACGTCCCCGCTCACCCTCGTTTACTCTAGAATCCTTACATAAACGCACAGGCTGCGGTTGGTGTATTGTCCGCCGAGCCAGACCTTACCAATACCTTGGACTTCCAGGGCTTCAACCCGGAGGTACGTAGCAGTTACCATGTCAAAGAACACAAACCTCCGTCTTCCAAAGAACATTTTCATGTCTAACGACCGTTTGCAGGGTCTAAACACTCCCCAAGACCAGGGGCACCGTGCATATCCCGATGCTACCGGTGAAACGGGGTTGTACGAAGGCGGCGACGGCGACGACTTGTTGAACAGGAACGGTGTCATCGAACAGCCGGACTTTAACACAGCCAACAATGCCCAGGTCTTTAGCCCACTACTGTCTCAGGCCAAGTCCCCTTCTCCCTCAGTGGCAGCTCGTCCTTCCGAAGTTGATATGGTGAACATCCCAAGCACTCACGGCCGCCGGTATACCTGCCAGCCCTGCTCGTTCTCTTCCAACACCAAGCGGGACTTTAAGCGCCACCAGAATACGCGGAAGCATCAGTCAAATGCGACGAGGAGCATGGCTACTTTGGATGTAACCGGGGAGCCTTTCCTCTCAAACGCAACAGGTTGGCCCTGTCCCGTTCAGAATTGCAAGTTTTCTGATGCGAGCAGGATGTTCACGCGCGAGGATAACCTCATGAGACACATTCGGAAGGAACATGTACATGGCACTCAAAGTAGGTAAACATTGACGGCCAAAGACAGGATTAAGTGGCAGGAGAATCGGCACTCAGAGGGCTGGGGGCAGGGGGATTGGCTTTCCATGGAGTATGGTATACTTTTTGGTGGTAACTCGTTTGGTCTTTAGCTTCTTCATCTTCAATATTCTGTCTTAAGAAGGTACATTCCCTTCGGTTCCTTCCTTCCTTTTCATCCTGTAATGCGTACCAGGTACTCTTCCTCAGCTGATCTTTGTCCCGTGTCAATGGCAAGAAAGTCCTTTCGAACGTCACTGCCCGCGTTACTTTACACACACACACTGACACACAGCTCCGTCAAAAACTTCAGCCATTCACGGACATCCAGCCCCATTCTGCAACCGGTCACATCCTGCTTCACACTCCTGCTCTACGCCCAAATTACCCTCCTAACTCTCTCAACACTCGTCGGGGCCGGCATCGGCGGATCGGTATTCACGCCCCTAAGTCAATCCCATCGTCAACAATCAGCACTTCCCCTTCCTAGCCTCTATATCACTTCCCCCCAAAATTCTCTCACAGGACAGCAGGGAAGGGACCACCAACCGACAAGCATCCTCCTTCCGAATCAACTCCGTAACAGGTGTATATCCGAGACAGCCGTAGCATGCGCAGACCTACACCCAAAAAAAAACAAAGAGTTGCATATAGTTAGCAAACGTTCAGTCCTGAACGATCTTCTTCTCTTGGTAGTATCCACGAAATTCGGATATGTAGAGGTAGGTAAGGTTCGTAAGTGAACGTACACCCTCCTTCCCACCAGAGATACAAGCAAAGATCTGCTCCGTGCTTGTCGGGTTCAAGAAGCAAGCGGTGTTGTCCATGATTTCCCAGCAATTTTCGTTTTCGTTGTAGGGGCAGGGGCCGTAATCTGCTGCTTTGACGACGGCGCTGCTGATTAGCGTCAATAAAGAAGCGAAGAGGGTGAAAGTGCGCATTGTGTTTTTCTAGGTAGAGGTATTGATGATTGATGGCGTGGTTGAAAAAGAATTGTGTGTGGGAGAGTAACATGTGTACCATGCAAAAGGGAGGGAGGAGAGATGATTTTATATCCTGGTCCAGGAACTCACCCGACAGGAAATTTCCAGACACGTTGTTGGGATCAGCTTGAGCATAAAGTCAGGGCCGGAATGGAGTGCATTAATTTGGAAAATGTACAAAGACAAGGATCGAGATGAAATCCGGCGGCCCGGTCTCGTTTCCAGCCGGCTGATATCCCCGAATGCTACCTACCACCCACTGTTCTCGGTTCAGGCCGTGTGTTGTGCCATGTGGGCTCGGCAAATGGCAGACCAATGAGTTACAATTGTACTTGAGCTATTCTTCAGTCAAAATCGACCTGGATGCGACGTCTTCTCTGGTGTCGTGACATCAAAGGAAAGGGGTGGTAAACAGTGGGAAACTTGGGATAATGGGGGTTAGGGTTGACTATGTGCTACTTCCAAGACTTGCATTGGCTCATGGCTGCTTGGCATATCGCCAAGACGCAATTTTCTTCACCAAAACAACAAACGCGGTTGGAGAGAATCAAGGTTGGACACTCGCCTATGATTCAACAATACTTGCCGCAGAACACAAAATAATATTGGATATCAGAATTGAAGGTATCAAAGTTTTTGTTTGGGCAAGAAAATGGCCGAGACAAGGCGTCGCAGTGCTCGAATCGCGGACGCAAAGGTCGATCCTCTGGGCCATTACACTGCGCCAGAGCATGCCGACTCAGACTCGAACTCCTCCGCCCTTTCTGACATTAACGAAAGTGAGTTTGACTCGGATGTCAGGCCGAACAAACGTCTGAAGACTGCGGGTGGAAAAGCTTCGCGAGTGGTTAGGAAGACGAGGAGCACGACCGTCAAGACAGTAACGACGAAGACGGTGACGACAAGAACGAAAGCATCAGCTACCACCACCGCCAGCACCTCCACTTCAGTTACTACGGCCACTCTCGCAATAACAGCAGCCAAACCCAAAGCAACAGCTGCCTTAATCCACGCCCTGATCGCTCAGATTTTCGACTGCCCCCTCCCTCAAGGAAACGAAACCCCATGCCATCCATCCCATCTTCATCCATTAACCTACCATAATCCTCTCCTACTCTCTACCCCCACTGCTCGTACAAATCGTGATGATCTCCTTACCTGGTTCGACTCCGTCTCTTCCTCTCGGCAAATGCCGTGGCGAAAACCATGGATCGACACCACCTCCCTTGTCTCCTCCTCCTCGTCCGGCGTCTCTCCCCAAGAACTGAAAGAAACTGTAGCCCAGCGGGCCTACGAGGTGTTGCTTTCCGAGACCATGTTACAGCAGACCCGAGTATCGACCGTCATTGCATATTACAACAAATGGCTAGCCGCCCTCCCGACCATGCAGTCTCTAGCAGCCGCCCAGCCAGAGGAAGTTCTCTCCCTCTGGAAGGGCCTCGGCTACTACTCGCGCGCCACCCGCCTTCATGCACTTGCTCAACTGGTCTGTCCGCCCCCCGAAGAAGGTGGGTATGACGGGTTGCTCCCGCATACGGTGGACAAGTTGGTGCAGCTGCCGGGCGTGGGGCGGTACACAGCTGGCGCCGTTGCGTCCATCGTGTACGGTCGCGCGGAGCCAATGGTTGATGGGAATGTTATCAGGGTGTTGACGAGGCAGTTGGGAATCAGAGGGGATGTCAAGAGCAAGGAGGTGCTGGAGGTGGTGTGGGAGGCTGCTAAGCGGCTAGTTGAGGCTGTTGCTTGGGACGGCACTGATGCCACCGAAGAGGAGCGGGAGGGAAAGGAGCCGCCGGTCAGTGACAGGCCGGGCAGATGGGGTCAGGGGCTAATGGAACTTGGAGCTACTGTCTGTTTACCAGGGCCAGCGAAACCCAAGTGTGGACTATGTCCTGTCAAGGAAACTTGCAGGGCTTATCAAGAGGGGGTGGATATCGCGACCCAAAAGGGACTGATGCCGGAGAGAAAAGTGACGGCGAGGAAGAGAGTGGTGGACATTGAAGATTCCTGCACGCTATGTCCCCCACCCGAAGCGGAAGAGTCTGACAAGCAGGAGAGTGATGTTAGAACGAAGAAGCGGAAGAAGCAAGGCGAGGTGTCCGCGTTCTTTGACAAGTTCATAGCCTCAGGTATGCGCCGCAAGAAAGAAGCAGCAGAGGACTCCGACCGAACAGAGCCATCTTCAGCCGCCATGGAAGTCATCACCTCTCACTGCTCAAAGTATCCCTACACGAAAGCCAAGACGAAGAAGCCGCGCGAGGAAGAGTGTCTGGTGGTAGCAATCCGACGTCCATCCGACGGCCGCTACCTGATCCATAAGCGGCCGGCCAAGGGTCTGCTGGCGGGCATGTGGGAGCTTCCCAGCCATACTTTGCCTGCTGATTTGACATGGAACGATGGGTCTGCGACAATCAAGAAGGACAAGGTGCGCATAGTTTTGAAGGAGGTGTTGGAAGAGGTGGGAGTGAGAAGTTGGAGGGAGAACGAGGAAGAATTGGGGACGGTGCCGTGGACATTTTCGCATTTCAAGTTGGCGATGCATGTCTGGGCGATTGACCTTACAGATGGGGATGAAGTCGGGAGCGAGGGAGTGGAGGGTAACGCGAAGACGAAGCGGTGGGCGACGATGGAGGAGATTGAGGGAGAAAACATGGGGACGGGAATGAAGAAGTGTTGGGAGTTGATCAAGGAAAGAAGGTAGAGATCTGGCTGGGGGTTCAGGATAAGGCAGTCATAGACCCCCTTGACAGAGGACGGACTCTTTGGACACCCCACGTATGCACTTTCCTTCAAAAACAACGAAACGCATCTTTTGTTCCTTCCATTTTCTTCTGGCAGTCGAACCATCATCATCAAGAGCGATATGGGGTTAGGGTTAGACGTGCATAGCAACTTTGCCGAGACGCGATTCTCGCAAAATGCAACGCGTTCACCGCTTCACCAAATTCGGACCAAGTTGGACACTCACACGCAACTTGACCACACCGGCGGAACGCAACCAGAAGAGGACGTTGAATCCCGTTGGGGCCCATGATCATGGACGAGAACAGGCGTCCAAGCACCCATGCCGTCACCGTTCAAACCGCCATGACCCATACATCAACGGCAACGGCAGCCCAATCTGGGAGTATCACGACCATCAAGCAAGAAGATGGCGTGTCAATTCCCATCAAGCCCGAACATGACTCCTTTAGTCTCTCGGATCTGCCCGCTTTCGTTCGAGAGGACAACGGAATGGAGGTGATCTTTGAGGACGACGGGATGGAGGTCATCTTCGAGGACGCTCATTTGGAAGAAGAGGACGCTGATGTGCAAGAAGAGGGGATTGCTGTCATCAAGTTCGGGCCCCATCATGGCTCGAACCATGCCAATAAATTTGGACCAAATTGCCCACGAACCATCACCAAGCGCAAGCCGGAGTTTCAAGAGGACGAGCCCCGGACAAAATCAGACGAAGACTCAGACTCCGACTCCGACACCGCCTTCGAGTCCATGAGTTTGGGAACCCGCAAACGCCAAAAGACCAAGACTGGCCGGGCGAATACTACCGCAAGCACCACGACAACAACTGGGATGAGGCCCGAAACCACCACAGTGTTGCCAACTAAACAGATCATCGCCCAAATCTTCTCCTCCAGTTCTCCTCGAGCCCATAGCGATATCCACACCTACCCACTCCCGCCAGACCAACCTCATCGACATAGCTACCACAATCCCCTCCTCCTATCCTTCCCAGGAAGTTCGAACTCTTGTTCTACGGGGAAATCCACAGCTGCAGCCCGCAAGCACCGCGATGCCCTCCTCACTTGGTTCGACACATACTGTGCAGCTCGCCAAATGCCGTGGCGGAAGGCTTGGGTTGATGCCAGTCCGTTGCTTTGCCCTGCCAGCGGTATCCCTTCTCCCTCCATCACAATCACCACCACTTCTGCTCCCGCTTCCGCTTCCGCTTCCAAGCCCCCTACTTCCAGCTTTCAGCCGACATCAGACTCGCTTGTGGGTCCCAAGGTGAAAGCTTCCCCACCGATCCCGGAATCAGTCCTCCTCTTCCCCAACCTAGCTGCCTCAATTCTCCGCGCCCAAGCCGAAGCTGAGGCACAAAAACAGCAAGCCCAAGCTGAAGCTGAAGCGAGAGCCCGCGCCCACGCTCAAGCAAAAGTCGAAGCCGAAGCCAAAGCCAAATCCCAAAAGCAAGCCCAAACTCTCCAATCCCTCCGGTCCACCATCGCGCAACGTTTTTACGAAACTCTCCTCTCCGAAATTTTGCGCCAAATTTTCCGTGAGACGGACCAGGAGCAGGCGATACAGAACATCACAACGCAATATAACCGGTGGATAAAGGCTTTTCCAACGATGGAGGATTTGGCCAAGGCGAAAGAGGAAGAGGTGGAGGAATTATCAGACGACATCCGCGCTACACGTTTACACAAGGCGGCGAGACAGGTTTGCGAAGGGAAGAGTTACAGATGTATCGAGACTATTCGGTTGCCGACGACGGTTGAGAAGCTCCAAAACCTATCGGGCGTCGGGCCGCATACGGCTGGTGTGGTGGCTGCTGTAGTCTTTGGGCGAGCAGAGCCAATGGTAATCTGGGACGTCACCCGCGTCCTGGCCCGGCAACTGGGAATTAGAGCAGACGCGAATAAGAAGGGAACCCGGGAGTTGATTTGGGAAGCGGCGAGGAGGTTGGTGGAGCAAGTGGCCTGGGACGGAGTGGAGGCCAAGGAGGAGGCCAAGGCGAAGCGGTTAGGGATAAGCAAGAAGAGAACCCGAAAAAATATGAACGAGGGAGAAAGCGTGGTTGATGGGGAAGACAGAAGAAGAAACAGAGGGCCACCGCCTCTCAGTGACCGGCCGGGACGCTGGGGTCAAGCGCTCATGGAACTGGGCGCAGCTGTCTGTCTCGCGGCGCCGAAAACGCCCTTGTGCCACTTGTGTCCCATCCAAGCCACGTGCAGAGCGTATGCGGAAGGGCTGGAAATCGCAAGAAAGGAAGGGATGGTGGTAGGAAATGAGGCAACCAAGAAAGAGCAGGACAGGCAAGCGTTGAAAAAGATGAAAGTGGGCAAGTTGCAAAAGCAAAAGGTGGTGGATATAGAAGATGCGGCATGTTCGTTATGCCCTTCTCCTTCGTCATTATCTCTTTCACCTTTTTCCTCGGAAGTTTCTGCAACAAAGATAAAGAAGGAGAACCAAGACCACGAGATATGGCAGCCAGGAGAGGATCTGGGAGACACAGACAGCGACACAGAAGTGCACTACCTCGGCACCGTGCCTAAGACGGCACTGCCCAGCACCAAAGAAGACACCCTGACCACCCAGGACACTACTCAACAAACAAACAACTTGAACAAGGACGAAAACGCCATCTCGACGAGCTTCTACGAACGAAACAGCTGGTTAAAGCTCCCTGTTAACTTCAGACGCAGCAAGCCTATACCCGACTATCTTGACTTGACAGCCAGAGAGTTATCACTACTTATTGCGCCCAATATCCCTACACTACTAAAAGAAAGCAAACCTGAAAAGAAGACGACGGCACCACGCCCCTCGAAAAACATTGATCTTTCTACCAATGGCTTCAGGGGCATGTACCCCCCACGAACAAGGGCGCTTTACAGTTGACGTGAGCTGTGCGCTACATCTATCGCGCATCTCCAGTTACCTGGAAATAACCGCCCCATGTCGTTTTGGGGGTAGCGTGGTCGAAGGGGTTCTGCGTGATCACCCGAGGTACCTTACCTACCTAGCTGGAGGTGTATACCAGTATTGTCGGTTCTAGGGAGCATGGAATCGTTCAGATCTTATTTTGACAGTTGTTGGGGCTTGGAAAGTTGAGGCGGGTATAGGGCCCTTTGGTGTCAACGGGGCGAGACATAGGAGGCTCGTGGCGGGTGGAGGAGAGCTTTGAACGTGTTTGTCATCTTGGATTCTTGACAAAGTTTGATATTTTGGGTTAATCCATGAGTGCTTTTTCGTGGATAGATTTAGGGAGGTAGGTTCTGGCGGATGGTAGATCTGGCCGCATGGCACGACATCTATAGGCAATTCAAGCATAAAAGCATGTTGAACACCGAGCTTCAAAACAAGTTCTTTCTTTTTTTCATTCCACTCCCTCCCTCCCTCCCTCCCACATCCACACCTTTTAGCGTTCTCATGCCATGGATTGCCCCATGCCCATGCCTTCCTTCTTCATGAATACCCATGCACATTGGTTCTATCGTTACAACACAAAGAAAAAGGAAGAAGACGAAGAAAAGAAAATTACATCCCCTGCAGCCAACCTACAATCTACAATCAACCGCTCACCGCACAAACTGGTTCAAGTCCTTGGACTCCTCAAGCGTGGCCTTCGCATCCTTCCCCACGCTCGCATCCCTCAACTTGACAGGCTTGGTCTCAGCAGCTTCACCCTCCTTCTCCTCACCCGTAACGTCCTCAATAACCTTCTCAGCAGGAATCTTGGCCTCCTCAGCAAAGTCAACCTTCTCACCAGCCACCGCAATCTCAGCCACCAGGGGAGGAGTCTCCGTCTTCTTTTGTTCCAAAGCCTTCGCCTTCGCCTTGGCCTTGGCCTTCTCCTTCTCAATCCTAGAAGTTCCCAAAGCCTTGCCAACCACCCCCGCTTCCGTGTCGGCAATTTCGTTGACATCCTCTCTGCTTAATACGTCCGAGACGCGCACGCCCCTGCTAGACATGAGGATATTCGTCGGGCCGCGGAACTGCAAAAACAGTCTATCGCCCCAGATCGTCCTCCTCGTCGCCGTCTTGAGGCCGTATAGTATCCTTGCGAGGATGGTGTAGAACTGGGTATCCCTCATCTGGGCAAAGAACTCGGAGACCTTGGCGGGCACGAGCCTGGAAGCGGCGTTGCTGATGTAGTGCGGGACAGCGGGGACTTGTAGGTTGAGTCGGGTGCTCTTGAAGCGGAACGGCAGAGGCGGGTTGCGGGTGACGGAGTAAGCGACCACGTGGGAAGGGTGGAGGGTGAGTTCCTCGCCTTCGGCTATGGTCAACTCGTAGATCTGGCCTGGGGCGGCCAAAGCGACGAGGCCGCGACCGGTAACGTGGGTGGCGCCCCAGTTGGCGGGGGCCAGACCGTGTTGGATGCGCGGCGAGACGCGGATGGTGTGGCCTGTCCAAGCCAAAAGGGCGTTGCGCTGGGCGACCATGTAATCGGTGGTTCCGTCGAGGTGGAGGACCGAGAAGCTGGTGTTGGGCGACTTGGTGCCTATTAGGGCCGTGATCGGGGTGGTTGAGGAGATGCGCTGGTAGAGGAAGGGAACACCGAGGAAGGCGCGCGGCAGAGGGGAGAGGACGGAGAGGGTCGATTGGGCGTTTTCGACCTTGCCGGCGACGGAGACGAGGGTGCCGCGACGAGTGTAGAGACGTTGGGAGGCGGACAAGGTGACGGAGAGGAGAGAGGCGGGAGCGCCAATGACTTCGAAACGGGCGTCGGCAGTGTCACGCGGGCCGCCGGGGAGGGCATCGAAGACGTCGGGGGCGGGGCGGGAGTCGGTGGCGGGCTTGGCGCTGATCTGGATGGAGCGACATTGCCAGCAGACGAAGTTGTTGGTTCTGGTGTTTAGTAGAAGAGGTGTCGTCGTCGTTGTCGTCGTCGAGGTTCTAGTCAGTCGCGCAGTCCGCGCCGCCCTGACCAGGGGAGACTGGCCGCGCATATTGTGGTCGCCTTTCGATTATAGGGCCCGGTTGTTTGGTGGTGTGAGATGGGGCCCAGGTTCGAGGTTTGAGGTCGGGGAGGATGGTGGAGGTTTGGAGCTTTGGAGCTTTGAATTTGGAGCTGGAGGTTGAGCTGAGCACGAAAGATTGAAACAGGACCCGTACAAGAAACAATCCAAATCCATGTAATGACGCCAATTGGAATATTTCCTTAGCTTCAGTTGAGGGACACGGACCACCTTGGATTCGTCCAATGTCGCGATTTCCTTGTCCGAGAAATTCCATTCATTCCCTTGAAGACTTGGTCGCCGCCGTGGGGAAGGTAGCCGGCCGCTATCGATAAGCCTTGGTTTAAAAGTGCACAGACCATCTCCGCTCTTCCTCTTCCACGGGAAATGGTTCCTGCCTGCCGCCAGCACATTCCATTGCTCCCGCTGCAAGCACTGTAAAATGGCAGCCACAACAGCAACAGCTCACTGCAGCCAGATCACAGCAGCGATCCCATCGGCTGCACCCCACAATAGCCCACAGTTAGTGCAGCAATACTGCATTGCCCAGTCATTCCAGTGTCTCACTAGCGGGACAAGCTGTTGACAAGAGGCCCGCTGAGAGCCAATTGCTTGTAGTTCGGGTGCGTTGTTCCCCCCCCCCCCGTTGTCCCCTTCAGGTTCCCCGTTGCTCGGTTAACTGAAATGGTCCCCTGTTGGCTCACATCCCGAGTCCCGACTCCATCCATCCACACACACACACTTGGTTGTTCATCAGACAGACAAGTGGGAAGCCCTGGCGACGGCAACGTGCTGACACTCTGCTTGCCGCATCCCGTGCAGACTACGACGGGAGAGAAGCCAATTGCTACTCGACATTGTGTCAGTTTGCTTGTCCACTGCACCCCCTCACTTGGGGACCCTGCCCGGCCCAACAATACCTATCAGATCATCGATCGGCCATTTGTTGACCGTCCGTCTCCTTTTATTCCACTCTTCCCGTCCGATCACTTGGATTCTGATCCCTGCCCTGGTCACAAGGCGGAGAGGGTCAACTGAACTGTCAACTAACTGGAGGCTGGAGGCGGAGGAGGAGAACTGAAGGAAAGTGAAGAGGCCATTGCCCAACCCCATCCTTTTTTTTCACTCTTTTCAGTTTTGCTTTTTCTGTCTCTTTACTTGTACACACACACATCACACATCACACATCACACTACACGTCTACACCACACTACACTACAACCAACTCATTGGGGTCCCCATTCCATATCCCATCCCATCCCATCCCATTCACTATTCCTACCTACCTTATCCTTTTCCTCCCCTTTTCATTTGATGTATCCTTTTCGGGAGCCGTCGTCCTATCTTTGTTGTCCCCATCCCTACCTCTAACCTACTCCCCCTTCCCCTCCCCCTTCCCCTTCCCCTTCCCCCCTTTCATTCTAGTATCTTTCTGTCATCGCGACACCGGCCGACAACCGAACCATGTCCGTCCGTGTCGTCGCCAGGATACGTCCGCTGCTAAAGAAAGAGCTGGACAAGGATGTCATTGTACGCGCCGCCAGCACCGACGAAGGCAAGCCCTTCACCATCGTCAAGATCCCCAACCCAAAAAACGAAACCGAAGAGTTCTCGTATGTTTTCAACAGCGTCTACGACCAATCATGTTCCCAGGAGGACCTCTTCAATGCTGAAGGTAGGCATCATCATCTCCCTCTCTCTCTCTTCACCGACTGTGTGGCTGGGGTCCCAACGAAGGACTGCCCCATCACTGACAACAACACGCAGTCTACCCTCACATCAAGGCCCTCTTCCAAGGCCTCGACGTGACAATATTCGCCTATGGTGTGACCGGCACAGGCAAAACGCACACGATGCGTGGTGGCATGAAGATGGACGAACGCGGTCTCATTCCTCGACTATTGAGCAACGTGTTCCGGCGCGGCAAGAAGATCGAAAAGGACTCCAACGGCGAGACCACAGTCGACGTCCACCTCTCGTACTACGAAATCTACAACGACAAGGTATACGACCTGCTCGAACCGCCCGAGATGCGCACCCCGATGGGCTTGCCCCTACGAGAAAAGGAGGGAAAGACATTCGTGGTCGGGCTGACGGAACGGCCCTGCGACGACGTGACGGATTTCGAAAGGCTCTACGTCGAAGCCAACAACAACCGCGTCACAGCCGCCACCAAGCTCAACGCCCACAGCTCTCGCAGTCACGCCATTCTTCGCGTCAAGGTCACACAAACAACAGGCGACATGGTGTTGGAAAGCACGGCGTCGGCCATCGACTTGGCGGGCTCCGAAGACAACAGAAGGACCGACAACAACAGGGACCGCATGATCGAGTCGGCCGCCATCAACAAGTCCTTGTTCGTTTTGTCGCAATGTATTGACGCCATCTCACGCGGCGACAAGCGCATTCCCTACCGTGAATCCAAAATGACGCGCATTCTCAGTCTGGGCCAGAACAACGGCATCACCATCATGATTCTCAATTTGGCCCCGATGCGCTCCTACCACCTCGACACGTTGAGCAGTCTGAACGTCTCGTCCCGCGCCAAGCGCATCGAAGTTCGCGAGATTGAAAACGAAGTCGTCTACAAGCAGCCGCACCGCTCGCACAGCTCGACCTCGTTCAGCGGTCTAACTAATGGCGTTCTGGCCCCTCGCCAGCCATTGCGGCCGATCGGCCTAGGCACTCAGAACTCGTACACAGGCAGTGCGCCCGCTCTAGCCCGCTCCAGCATCGACCGCGCCGCCGCCTCGGGAGCAGTCATCGAAAAGATCGAAAAGCCCTCCAAGCTCTTCAACGTGTACGCCGACCGCGCTTCAGCACACAAAGCCACCGCGTCCATGGGCGGCGGCAGCTCTTCACGACTCGCCGGCCCGCCACAAGCCAACACGTCGCAGATCCGCCAGCCTCTTTCTTTGTCGGGAGGACTAGCCTCTCGGCGCTCCATGACCGACACCACTACCGCTTCTTCTTCAAGCACCGAAACATCGGCTCTCCGCTCCGGACTCATCGGCACCGGCGCGTCGAAACTCGCGCGGCCTACGGGGCTTCCGCTGCCCGGCTCGGTTTCCGCAGGTGTTTCTCGCCAGAACAGTAGCTCCTCGGGCTCCATCCAGCCCCCACAGCAAACAAGCAAATCAGTAGACAACACGCCCATCCTTACCCTCTCAGCAGCCCAGATCGAAGCCATGGTCGAGAAAAAGGTCGCCGAGATCTTGGCGGCCCGCGCAGCAGCCGCCGCTGCCCTCGCCCCGCAGACACCGACCCCTTCTACGCCCAGATCGGATAACCACCACCCCCCGGGGAGCGAGCAGCAGCGGCCCAAGTCGTCGGAGCCGCGGATTAGCGAGGAGGTGCAGAGAAGATTGGAGGCGCTGGAGAGGAGGATCGAAGAGCAGAGCATGAGTACTTCACGATCTAGTTCGCGACGGGGACGCGGCGGAAGGGACGAGAAAAGTGCGGGGTTGCAGTTATTGCTAGAGGCCAGAAAGGCAAAAGAGGCGGGCCAGTTGGAAGAGGCGTTGGGGATGTACGAAGATGCGCTAGGATTCTTCCCTGGGCAAAGGAAGTTGGTGGGCAAGATTGAGAAACTCAAGTTGAAGCTGGGCAAGATTAGTAGGGAGGACTACGAAGTTGGTGCGCAATTGAGGGATGAAGAGGCTGGTTCACGACAAGGTAACCGAGTTGGAAATGCGATACAGCAAAGCAGGAGCGCGAGTGTCACCAGCGGACGACGAACAGCCATGACGGGCATTTCTTCGACTGACGCGGAAGTGGAGGAGGAGGATCTTGATGATGACATGGAAGCCGACGTGGAAGAGACACCCGAAGAAGCAGAAGCGAGGAGGAGGAGACTGTTGAAGTCCCGAGGCCGCAGTGCTACGCTAGGCGTAGGCATTTCTAGCAGGTCGAGACAGCAGTTGTACAGCAACACGACGACCGACACGGGCTCCGATTACGATGATCGCTCTGCTTCCAATTCGGATCCGGAACAACAGTCCTCGCAAGAACCGAGCCCGAGAACGAAGCAGTTGCTGGATATTGTCAACTCGCGCGATACCGAGCTAATCAAGTCCCTTAGTGGATTCGGACAGAAGCGCGCCCAGGATCTGGTGGATCATTTGGATGATACGCAGGGACCGAGCGGGAAAGTAAGGAGTCTCGGCGAGTTGACGACGGTTCCGGGCGTGGGCGTGAGGACGGTGGAGAAGGCGTATGAAGGGTTGGCAGTTGCGGCTGAGTTGAGCAGCAAGTTGGCGTTGAAGACGTATTATGATGAGACGGAGACTTTTTAGGGGAGGTCTTTTTCCGTGGAGGAGGGAGGAGATGGGAGGGAGTGTGAGAGAAGAAGAAAAAGAAGACGGGAAGTGAAAAGGAGGCGGAGAGAAAAGAAAAAGAAGGCGAGAGAGAGGATCAGAGATGGGTAGATGGAAGACGAAAGATGAGTAAAAAGGAGCGACACAGAGGGAGGTAAGAAAAGAGAGAGAGAGAGAGAGAAACATCTGGAGCATTGCATTGCATTGCGGTTTCACCACCTAGAGCTAGAGCTAGAGCTGGGTCCGTTTTTGTCGCTTTTTGCTTGCTTGAGGGCTGGCTGGAGTCACTTGACGGGGGAGGGGAGTTGGACCTCCAGAGTTGGATTTCGCTTCACGGCATTCATTCAGCATTTCACATCACATTGGCGAGACGGCATTGGCTATTCTTTTGCATGGCTTTGTCTTTTGCATGGGGAACTATGCGCCCGATTTCCTTTTTTGTTCGGTTTGTTTTATTTTGGCATTGCGAGGCGTTGTTGTTTGGTTTTATTCACTATTGGAGGGGTGATGAAGAGTTCATGCCCCCCTTGGTGTCGTCGGTCTTTCTTAGCACACTCCTTTTCTTAGGTAGCTTTGGCATGATTGCCTAGACATGTCATGTCACGTTCTTCTAAGGTACTCTAGACTTAGATGTGGAAGAAGAAGAGAATAGGAAGAAATTCACAAGAACTAAAAGGCGGTATACGAGTAAGTTGATGAGTGAGGCTGATAAAGTCAAGAACGCAAAGTGATAATTGCTGTCTGACTACCGGTCGGAGTAGAAGTACTTTCTAGTCTCGGCATTTATACCGGGACTAGTGTTTTTTGTGCCGGCCATAGATACGGCGTTGCGGCCGGACTGCCGGAGGGATGCCGAAGACCCTAGACGGAACTTTACTAGATGCCGGCCGGCTGCGTGTAATTGGTCCAATCTCCACAAAAATGTTAGGGCATTGAGAACCCTGAAGTCCAGCCGGGTCTGTGCACAGCTGGTCCCTGTGTTTGCCCTGTGACATGCTTGCGGCGGCACCCGCGGCAGGCTAAAGATGCCCATTGCTCAGGCTGATTGCATCATTGTGGATGCCCCACAATCGCGACATTGTGAAGCTCCGAAGTACGAAGCCTCGGCGGTTTACTTGGTGATGTTGTTGCACGGGGGGTAAAGGTAATCGTTCAATCTCACAATACCATCTCTTTTATATCCCTTCACCGAGTCACCGATACCTACCTCCCACCTCCTCCACCACCCATTGCCAATCCACGACCACCTCGGCATGGGCTCTCTATAAGAGCTGGCGCGAATTCCCCTCTCCGTCTCACATACACATCTCCGACTGACTTATACGGATCACCACCACAACCCCCTCGAGGAGCAGCCAATGCTCCCGGGGCACACACAGCAACAACCATGGCGCCGTCTATAAAGCTCAGCACCATGGCTACCAGCCTTCATCGAGCCCACGGCACCTCCGCCCTCCTCCGCGGCCCCCGTCTCTGGGCACCCCGACTCTCCTCCATCCACGCGACACCCACGATTGCCAACCTCCGAGCTTCCTTCACCACATCCTCCCCCCGCCTCTTTGCGCCCAATGGCAGCGCCAAAGATGAACCGAAACCCGCACTTTCCACCGTACCCAAGACCACCGGTCGAGGCCCTTCCGATCCCCTCGCCGCCATTGATAAAACCGCGCAGGAACAGCGCAAGGCCGATTGGGCCATCATGAAGGAAATGTCCAAATACCTGTGGCCCAAGGGCAGCTGGGGCGACAAGGCACGAGTACTGCTAGCTATCGGCTTGCTCGTCGGTGGCAAGGTGCTCAACGTCCAGGTGCCCTTCTACTTCCGCGAGATTGTCGACTCGCTCAACATTGACTTTTCTACAACGGGCGGGTCTGTCACGGCCGTGGCGGGCGCCATGATCCTGGGTTACGGTGCGGCTAGGGTAGGCGCTGTGGTTTCGCAGGAATTGAGGAATGCCGTCTTTGCGTCGGTGGCGCAAAAGGCCATTCGCAAGGTTGCGAGGAACACCTTTGAGCATCTGTTAAATCTGGATCTGAGCTTCCATCTGTCCAAGCAGACGGGTGGTTTGACCAGGGCTATCGACCGTGGTACCAAGGGCATCAGCTTCCTCTTGACCAGCATGGTATTCCACATTGTCCCGACCGCCCTGGAAATCAGCATGGTCTGCGGTATTTTGACCTACAACTTTGGCTGGCAGTATGCCGCTCTTACGGCCCTGACCATGGTCAGCTACACGGCCTTCACCATTCTCACGACAGCCTGGCGCACAAAGTTCCGTCGCCAAGCCAACGCGGCAGACAACAAGGCCTCGACCATTGCTGTCGATTCCCTCATCAACTACGAAGCCGTCAAGTACTTCAACAACGAAGCCTACGAGGTCGGCCGCTACGACAAGGCCCTCGCCCAATACGAGAAGAACAGCATCAAGGTCGCCACTTCACTCGCCTTTCTCAACTCGGGTCAAAACATCATCTTCTCCTCCGCCTTGACGGTCATGATGTACATGGGCGCCCACGGCGTCGCTACCGGCCAGCTCACCGTCGGCGACCTGGTCTTGATCAACCAGCTCGTCTTCCAGCTTTCCGTCCCGCTCAACTTCCTCGGTTCCGTCTACCGCGAATTGCGCCAGTCCCTCCTCGACATGGAAACCCTCTTCAACCTTCAAAAAGTCAACGTGACCATCAAGGAGCAACCCAACGCCAAGCCCCTCGCTCTCACCCGCGGCGGCGAGATCGAGTTCAAGAACGTCACCTTCGGCTACCACCCCGAGTCGCCCATCCTGCGCGATCTAAGTCTCACCATCCCCGCCGGCAAAAAGGTCGCCATCGTCGGGCCTTCCGGGTGCGGCAAGTCCACCCTTCTCCGTCTGCTGTTCAGGTTCTACGACCCCCAAAAGGGCGCCATCTACATTGACGGCCAAGACATCCGCTCCGTCACCTTGGAGTCTCTCCGTAGAGCCATCGGCGTCGTCCCGCAGGACACGCCCCTCTTCAACGACACAGTCGAGCACAACATCCGCTACGGCAACCTATCCGCCACACCGGAGCAAGTCATCGAAGCCGCCAAGGCCGCGCACATCCACGAGAAAATCATTTCCTGGCGAGACGGGTACAACACCAAGGTGGGCGAGCGTGGACTAATGATTTCCGGCGGCGAGAAGCAACGATTGGCTGTTTCGCGTCTCATCTTAAAGGACCCACCGCTGTTGTTCTTTGACGAGGCGACGAGTGCGCTGGATACGCATACGGAGCAGGCGCTGATGGAGAATATCAATGCCATTCTTAAGGGTTTGGGCCAAAAGGGGGAGAAGAAGACGAGTCTGTTTGTGGCGCATCGGTTGAGGACGATTTATGATTCGGATTTGATTATTGTGTTGAAGGAAGGGAGGGTGGCGGAGCAGGGCACGCATCGGGAGTTGATGGAAAGGAATGGCGTGTATGCGCAGTTGTGGAGGGCGCAGGAGATGTTGATGACGGAGGAGGGGGAGGTCAAGAAGGGGGAGAAGGAAGTGGTTGAGAAGAAGACGGCGTAATGGGGGGAAATGGGAAAGGGGGTGGAGGGGAGAGGAGAGGAGATGAGATATATAGATGGGGCACTTTTTCTTGCATAGAACTCTTGGACATACCTACACACATACATATATAGTTTTGGTCTGGAGGAGTTCAAAATCGACTTTTGATACCTTTTTTTTTTCTTGGCAAAGTGTGTTGATCAGGTGAGAACACAACTATTTTGAACTGATGCAGTCTTTCGACCTTCTGGGCCCTGCTTTTCCGCCTGTGGTCACAACATAGTCCTGTCAACCACGCCCGGAGAAATCTTCATCGATCTCAGTCAGGTCATCCACGACGAGCATCGTACCGGTCAGATTTACCTCGAAGGACCCAGTGTCACCGTCGGACATCAACCATCAACCATCAATCATCAGCCAAATGGCCCAAGAAATCCAGTCTGTGCAGGTAAGTACTTTGAAGCACTAAAGCTCGACAGGCCATCAGGCGCCATTACCGCTCGGTTCCAGTCGGCTAATCTACGTCGCTTACGGTTTATATTACATAGTAGGTAGATATTGATCATTCATTTATAGACGCAGCGCCAAGACCTTTTTGAGGTTTGTAAGGTGGGTAGGTTTGTTTATTGAACCTCTGATCTCGCTTACTTGGTACACCGACTGCACCCGTCGTATTGGTTTTGGGCCGTGCTCCATGGGATGTGTTAATCTGGTTAATTGGTGGGTCGGTTGGTTGAATGTTGGTTGAATGTTGGTTGAATGTTGGTTGAATGTTGGTTGAATGTTGGTTGAATGTTGGTAGATGGGGAGAAGGAAGTGAGGGAAGGAAGGGTGGATGTTGTCATGGCTAGCTCTATGTGCTCATGATCTTGGTTTGCACGGGAGTATTGAGGGTAGGTAGGTAGTCCTGGTAGTTGTTGCAGTCAGTGTCTCTCACTCTCACGTTTTGCTTGCTTGCTCGATTCTTCTTTTTTACACTTGAGTGTTTAGCTATGGTCTTTCTCACCCTTGTTTCGATATC